TTATGGCTTCACCACCTCATTATGTTAATGCAAATCAACCCTTTAGAAAGCACTGCAGGAGCGTGTGCTGTGGAGGAAGCATTATTAAATTGGGGATAAAGAATAGTTGTTTTTGTTCAATGTATATTGTATCCCAAATGTACATGATACTGTACATAAATCCCGGGTCTGTCACTGTGTTGTTTTAATCCCAAGTGTACATAGTACTGTACTGTTTTAGTTCCAGACAGTGACTTGCTCTGTAATCTGGTATAAGCCACTTAACTTTTCCGTTCCTCAGTTTCCCCATTGAATTGAACTAAATGTGGCTCTTAAAACTTTAACACATTATCTTTAAAACATTTGTGCAGCCTATAGAGTAAAACTATTAATATACCTCATGACCTTCAGAGTGCATATAGTGAAGACCTAGCCAGACTGGATTAAGTAACATCTACACCTTTTGGGTTAATTGGTTATACACTTACTAAAATCAATCACATTATTTTTGGAAAACTTCATTTCATTGTGGGCAACTACAGGTACCATCACACCTATCCTAACCGAATAACCGAAGTTATTTGCTTCGGTTGCCATATCAGTAGGCATACTGATAAATGTTAAACACAGATTTTTGATGAAGTATTGTATATGAGCTAATACTGTAAGCTGTAGTAAGGCTTGCAGGTAGTTAAGTATGTATTTGATGGTACTCTATAGTGATTAGAGTGCAATGATCATAGTTATATCTCGATACTTATCACTTATTGTCGTCAAACCACTAACAGTATTCATGGCATTCCGCAATCCTGTCTTTACAACAGTGCAATAGACAAAGTATTTTAATGGTGCCCTCTTTTCATAGGGATATAGTGATAACTTCCTAATGCAGATAAGCAATTAGTCACACTCCTTTGATGTACTTGAGAGTGTTTTGAATGTAGATATGGCGGCTATGGCCGATTATTGTCATTGGTGTCGCCTGATTAATAGTGGAAGTAAGACTGTGTCGAGTGTCTTCCATTTATATCATGCACAAGTGGGCAGAGAGCTGTACATAGTTTTCAGTGGTCAGTGAATAAAGCATGATTCACACCTGCTCTATCTAGGCATCACTTTGGATAGAACTCTCACATATCATGACCATTGTACAAAGTCAGCAACTAAGATCAAAACGCACAACAACTTGCTTGGAAAACTGGCCAGAATGACATGGGGTGCCAACGCCCAAATGTTACACACTTCAGTCTTGGCACTGTGTTATTCAGAGGCAGAGTACTGCACTCCAGTATGGGCTCGCTCATCTCACACAAGGATGATCGTCATACAACTTCATTCCAACATGCGTATTATTTCAGGCATACTTACATCTACTCCTCTACCACGATTACTGGTTCTTTGCAATATTGCTCCACCCAGTGTTCGCAGAGAGGAAAGCACAGCAAAGCTTGTGATGAAATTGTGTGATATACCACTTCTACTGTTAATTAAAGATTTGTTTAATCCACCATATGGTCGTCTGCCCTCACGGCACTCGTTGTGGATAAGTTTACCAGGTGAGGGATTTACAGTAGAGGATGTAGGGCAAGCTTCATGGTTCGCAGAGAAAGTGACAAATAATTATCTGTCTTGGACCCCACACAATGTCAACCTGGGTTTGATTTACCATGACGTCAATGGAGTCTTCTCAACTAGTTTCGTATCAGACATGGAATTTTTGCTGCAGCAGAATTTCGGTGGCATTTTAAAGACAGTACACTATGTTAATGTGGACAGCCACAAATCATCACACACTTTGTTGAGGACTGCAAAATTACTCAGCTTCCTGGAGGTCTTCATGTCTTGAACATTGTTGATAAGAATGCTGAAGCTTGGCTTGACCTGATTGCATATGCCAAATAAATAATGCAGAAGCAAACAAGATTTCTAATTTAGATGAATATTCTGCTCTTCCTGGAATGTAAACTGTTCATTTCAAAATTGCCCTAGGATTGTCCTATTAGATGTGTGAGATGCCTGGGCAATATCTGTAAAACTGCGGGAATTTTTCAATGACACATTTTTTTTCATCAGAAAATACTGATATGTCAAAGCCAAAACCATGTCCATTTTGATTAAAGTTTTGTCAGGAAGGTTTCTCAGGCCCAGGAATGGAATTTCTGGTCAGAGAGAATGACCCCAGAAGAACCCCAGTGACTAGGCCATTCACTTGGGATCTGGGAGACCAAGGTTCAAGTCCCTGCTCAGAGTCTGCTCTGAAACTGATGTGGAATGATGCCAAAACCTCCATTTTTTTTATTAAATGAAATTCTTGTTTTCTGGCCAGTGCTAAATATCTGCTTAGGGCAATAGTGACTGACTGGACCAAATAGTTATCAGACACTGGCTTCAAAATGTGTAGGGCCCCATTCCTGTAAAAGGAGTATTTTGTAAGCACAGGGAGAAAGCTCACTTTACACCCATACAGGAGCAGCTGATTCACCTGAGACAGCACTTGCTATATAGTAAGTTTCAGCTGCATTTGGTGGGAGCATGGAGAATTGTTTATGTTCCTGTTGTTAAAACACCTAATAACAAATCCTCCTGTATTGTCAGTCAGTTTTACATAGGGTCTTTCATGGTGTAATAGGAGACACAGAAAAAAAATTAATTAGGAAAATTTGATTGTAAAGCCACAAGAATTGGCAAGTGTACTTAGAAGCAGAAATATTGTCTGAAACTACACCTCTACCTCAATATAACGCTGTCCTCGGGAGCCAAAAAATCTTACCGCGTTATAGGTGAAACTGCGTTATATTGAACTTGATTTGATCCACCAGAGTGCGCAGCCCCCCCCCCCCTTCCCCCCCCCCCGCCCCGAGCACTGCTTTACCGCATTATAGCCGAATTCATGTTATATCGAAGTAGAGGTGTACTTTTAACTCAGTTCATTTTTGGTATTGACTACATTTCATTTGATTGTATCCCTCAGAATAATGTAGCATTATTTTATTTGTGCAAAACTGTGGATTCTATGTGTACACAAAAATTCAGTTGTACAAAAGAGAGTGAGTCATGAATACTGTAACACTGTGTGTTTATGTAGGAAGGATGTTAACCCTTTTTGAAAAATAAGTTTTAAATAGCCTCAAGGGAAATAAAAATATACCTGTAAGATAGTCTGGGATCTGGCAGGGTTTACAACTATATGTTTTCTTAGAAGACTAGAGCTCTACTTATGGAGCCCTACTGATAAATCAGATCTTATACATATCAGGCACTGAGAATTTATGTGAAGCACTCTTGAAAAACTATTTATTTCTTTTAAAATTGTTGGTTTTTCTTTAAACAGACAAAGCATTCTGTCCTCAGGTTGTCCTGGAAAATTTAGCTAACAAAAATGGTTTATTTAGACACTTCGGGGCACTTTTGTTAAAAGAAAATAGGGAGGGGGGAAAAAAGCCCAATAATTCTTTCAGTAGAGCTCTTCCCCTATTTTAACAGTAACTTTGGTTGGTCTGCATTGCAAGATTCTCAGGTTGAAACTCCACCCCTTTGCTAATTTAGGTCAGTGTGCCTTCTTTGTTAATCTGAAATGCTGGGTTAGCATAATTGATTAATCAATTTCACTCCAGTTCTCTATTGTCAGTCCTGCAGATGCATGTAACTTACTGCATAGCACAGCCTTACAAGGGCATGGTGGTGTGTTAATACAGTTACACACAAAAACTTCTCAGTGAATAGAGGGAATTTCCTTCCTCTGCCTGTATATAGATATGAACAATCAAACACCCAAGTAGAGAGGTGCAGAATGTGAAAATGTTTATCTCACTATTATACAGTGTGTGAAGAGTGCATACATTTACAGATGGGTAAGAGAGAGAAAGCTATGCATTGCCTATTTTTTCAGCATGATGTATATGATGTCAGGCGTTTCCTGGATGTTTCATTTTGAATCTAACTTGCCTCCAGTTTTTTACCAGCTGGACATGCAATTTCAATTATGCCTCAACCGTTGGTTCTTCTGATTTCCTCATCCCTTATCTTTACTATATACACCTCTACCCCGATATAACGCAACCCGATATAACACGAATTTGGATATAACGCGGTAAAGCAGTGCTCGGGGGGGGGGGGGGGGGTGCGCCCCCCGGTGGATCAAAGCAAGTTCGATATAACGCGGTTTCACCTATAACGTGGTAAGATTTTTTGGCTCCCGAGAACACCGTTATATCGGGGTAGAGGTGTATAACTTTCTTTGCTCCCCAATGAGGAGGTAATAGCCATATTTTAATTTTGCTGAGACAAGATCTGAACTTGGCAATAAGCCAGAGCAATTTCCCTTCCGTAGCACTCTTTTCCTTCACCTAAGAATGATACTTGCTGCGTTCTTGGTCACAGCAAGATTCCCTACAATAGCATCCTGTTTATGCCCTTTCTCCCCGCCGGATCCACGACCGTATGGTAGCCGAATATTCTCCGTTCTACACAGCCCATTTTTTCCCTCTTAGCACATGGAGCATTCACTTCAAAGTGTGTACACTTGGATGCAGAACAGAGACAAAGCTCATTGCTGAAGCATACCACTCTTTGATAGACAATGAATTTAAGTACACACTAGTATTCTTCAGCATTCTGAGTTTAACTCTGGGGGAAGCTGTGTGGTGATTACTTTTAAAATGTGTAATTTGGGTATTCAGGGGGATTTTCCTTTTAAAAACAACCCCTCCCCCACTCCTGCTTTGTATTTTTACTTCATCAGAATTAAGGGATCAAGCATGGTGCCTGTACAGGCAAATGCATAAGTGCTTTGCTGGATCTGTTAAATTAATCTATAACAACCATTTTGCTACATTGAAATCATGTTAAACAGATTTAGATGTGTGTGTATATATTCAAGCACTCAGTTAAATCAAAGGTTATTACTCCAATCCAACAGGGCTTTGCTCTACGTTTTGAGATAATCACTTTATGCAAGTATTTTTCGTGACTCATGTTGTGCATGTGGACTGATTTGCCTCTTTTCTTTCAATGTAGGTAAAAGTATGGATGAAATTAAGAAGATGCTGTTGTTGGTATTGGGCTGTGCTGTACAGGTGAACATGCCTTATGGAATTACAAAATATTTTAATATGTCGTTTGAATCTGATTTTGGTGCTAGAACTAGAAGTGCCAATCAATGATCCAGGTCCCATTATGCAAAGTGCTGTACTGCCCCAGACAGTTTGTGGTCTAGAATTGTAAGACACAATAGATGGATGAAACAGAAAAACCGGGGGAAAGGAGATGGGAGAAAAATTAGCACATTTTGCATAATAAGCTATAGCCTCAGCTTGCCACCTGCCTTGCCACTGTTTGAACCAGTGCTTTGATACATGCTGTCACAATTAGGCAATCCAAATCATTGGCACACAGTAATTCCTGCAGGAGAGAATGTGAGTGTGAACAATCTCCTTAGTCTAAGGATTGTTGTGAGGGAGAGGGAGTTGGTTTGTTTTTGTTCTGGGGCTGTTGTTTTTTGTTGTTGTTACAATATGTAGGAATATAGTGGAGTACATTAGTGCAAAGAGAATAGATAAACCAACATCTAATCACTGTCTTCTAACAAATACTACTCAGCCGCACCTTTTTTTTTTTTTTAATATGTGTAGATAGAAAGTCCTAAATAGGAACTCTGTATGATCACATGAGGGTTTTTATGCTGTGTTGTTAAACCAAATGGACAGCCGATACATATGGTAAATTCCCCTGAAATACATGACAGTTAACCAAATAAAGGAATCAGTGTCCTGCACACCAAAGCTCTGTGTTTGGAATTCCACTGTAAACTGTTGTAACAGACAATAGGAATGTTGCAGGCCAGTCTTTGCTTATAATTGACCTTGTTTGTGTGTCTGTCTAATGTTCTTGTCATGCCTTAGGACACTCTTCCTGCCCAGCTATGTCAAGTCAATTATGTCAGAGCAGTGCTCTCTTCATGTAGCTGTTCGGAACTTTATTCTTACTAACACATTTTAACACAAAGAATGAAAGGCCTGATTCGGCAAGGGGCTGAATAGTCTCAGTTCCTGTTTAAAGACCTGAACCTCCTCCCACTGAAATTAATGGTTGTACTCAGAATTGGGCCAAAATCAGCACTGTATATCATGGAATCAACAGAAAACAGACTGTGGAAATGTTCTACTTCTCTGTTACTTCGGTCTAGAGCTTCTGCCAACTTGAGGTCCCCAATTTGCACTGACTGTCATTGTGTGGGGTATTCTTTTGTTTTTTAAGATTTACAAAAGTAATTTGATAAAAATAGAGTTGTGAAGCTATGAAGTGAAATTCTCGTTTATTTTTTCATTAAATATTTTACATACAAAGCACACATTTAATTAGTGCCCAAGAACCAAAAAATGAAGCTGAAGTGGGCAGAAGCAAAAGCAAAACCAACTGATCTGTTGTCATTGCCCAAAACGAGCAAAATGCCAAAAGTAAACAAATGGTTTAAATGATGTAAAGTAAAGTTAGGGCCAGATCCTCAGCTGATATATGTTGGTGTAGCTCCTTTGAAATCAGTGGAGCTTTGCTGATTTACACCAGCAAGTGGATCCAATCCTTGATTTTTAGCTTGGGTGGCGGGGAGGTTGGGTTTTGGTTGGGTTTCTTTTTTTACATTTAACTTAGCCTTAAGTTTAAAAACTTTTGGCAGGACTCAGTCACCCTTACTCACACCGCATGTTCATTGACTCCTCAGTTAGTTCAGTGACCTCAAGGAGCATTGGAATAGTGGAATAAAGCACTAGCTACTCAATGTGAGTAAGTGTGACAGAGTCTGGCCCTTGGTGTTGCAAGAGTCCTTTTAGCTGTGCAGAGATGTTCAAAGAAAATAACACCATGGTAGAGTTTTGACCCATAGCTGTTTTCAAGTGACATGTGTATTTATTTTCTGTTTGTTTACAGTGTGAAAGAAAGGAAGAGTTTATCGAAAGAATAAAACAACTGGATATTGAGACCCAGGCTGCAATTGTTTCACACATTCAGGAGGTAGGGTTCTCAGCGCTTGAAGCTTCCTTTCTTTTTTTCTTCTCCTGCCGGTTCAGTGGTATTGTTTACTCTGCTATGTGGTAGCACAGGTTAACCTTTCATAGTAGCACTAGTGTGTTTCATACAAAGAAAGATACATTCCATGAATGTATGGGTATATCTATTTTTGAGCTTGGAGGTATGATTCCCAGCTCGCATAGACATACCCACATTAAAAATAGTAGTGTAGTCTGGATAGCCTGGGTAGCAGCTTGGGCTACCTGCCAAATATGTGCCCAATCGGATGCACTAGGTACGTACTTGGGTGGCTATCCCAAGCCACCTTCCCTTGCTACTCCAGCTACGCTGCTATTTTTAGCATGCTAGCTTGTGTAGTGCTAGCACAGGTATGTCTACGTGAGCTGGGAATCACTGCTTCCCTCTAAGTGTAATCAAATTAAAAAGGTAAAAATTACTAGGTTGTTGGGAAATTAACTGGGCTAACCACTTCTCAAAAAGTGGCAGTAATAAATGTCAGAACTGTCTAACATCAGCTCAGACTGAAAATAGTTTTATAAGGATACACAAAAAGGGTTTCAGGTAAAATTTTCAGAAGCACTTCAGTGATTTAGTCTTATTTTCAAAAGTCACTTAGAAGCTTAAGTCCCATTAGAAGGCAATGAGACTCCCAAGTACCTGCGGCACTTTTGAAATTGGGACTTAAGCACCTAAGTCACATAAGTGCTTTTGAAAGTATTATTGATGGTCCAAAATTTGATTTCAGTCTTTTAAAAATGGTATAATTTGGTGACATATGTCGCCTGGATTCTAAATGCTTCGTTAAAAGAAAAAAAAAATGTTTGCTCAAACAACAGCTATCATCCCACTTTCGGGAGTTCAGGTGAAACCTTCTGTAAATGCCCTCTACTGGACAGGCCTCAAGTACAAAATGCACGTTCTCTCAGGATGTGCTGCCTTCATCTGATGCAAAAGCGAAAAACCAACTAATCTAGGGGGGTTGGGGAACACATACTGTTAGAAGATGTTGACAATAACCTTTTAATATATTTTAAAATCTGCTTTCTAAAAGCAGATCCCACAGACTAGCAATTTCATTTAAAGACTAAGGAACATAAAAAATATGGTTCTGGTAAAAGCAGAAACATGCATAGTCCTAAATGTGGACATAGCAACTTGAAAAGAACCTTTCCAGTCTAGTGCAGTTTTCAGTAACATTATTTGGAAAAAAGCAATTTTTAGAGAATCGTAGTAAAAAAAAAATTTTTTTTTCATACCAGATTAGATCACTGCCACATCCGATCCATGAAGTCAGATACTCCCTGTGACAGTGGTCAATAGCCAGAGCGTCAGGAGAAGGACAAACCTTGTCACCCCCCTAATAATGCATCTAGCTAATTGTGCAATACAGGGCCAATGCCTTCCTGACTCTTGCAGTGACTAGCTCACCCACATGAAGATTGAGAGTTGAGTACAGTACTCTTAGTGTTCTTGAGCACAAAATTATCCAGCCACTTTTTCTAAATCTAGCTATCTTGTGAAAACTAGAAGCTTTGTTACATGATGTTGCAGTTGAACTGAGCATTTCTGCACCATTTCCTGGCTATATTTGCTGAAAAGTGACATTTATGACTAGGTTTGCCCACTCATCAGTTCTTGAAAATTGGTGACAATTGGAAGAGGAACTGTACTGATTCCAACAGCTGAGTTATATAAGTAGCAAACTTGAAAGAAAATCCTTGCACAGAATGAATCAATTCAACAAGCAACATTTGAAAATATACCAGGGAAAATTAAAAAAACAAAAACTGTATTTTGTTCTGGTTTGCAGGTGACTCATAACCAGGAGAATGTGTTTGACTTGCAGTGGCTAGAGCTGCCAGATATGGCCCCAGAAGAACTGGAGTCTCTCTCAAGGAATATGGTTTTCCATCTCAAGAGGCTTATTGATGAGAGAGACGAGTGCACAGAAGTATGAATGAGATGTCTGTTTCTCATACAGTTCATTGGAGGGATCAGACACAGGCTCTGCTTTTCTATTGTCTTTTGCTTTTGTACTGATTGCCTCTATGTTTCATTTAAGGTTCAATCTCTTGTCACTCTATTAAATCTCTAAAAATTCTAGCATTCGTTAGAGTGATGTTTAATCTTCCCTTGCTGCTCTCATAAATTGTATACTCGAGCTACAGAGAATTGATCTGTGAAGGAGAAGTGTGTGCAGGAAACACAATATGCTTTATTTTGTGAATTTGCCTTAAAGCTTTTGTCTCTTATTCTCTTCTCTGAGTGGATACTTTTCTGTCCCTCCCACAATATATGCCATTGTTGGTTCAAGAGCCTTCTCTCTAGTTTATGCCACCAGTGACATCTTTTCTCTGTATCTGTGACTCATCAGTTAATCTTATTTCAGATCTCTGCTAGAAACCTCTCTTCTCCCGACCTAGATCTCTTAACTTCCCCCTCTTCCTACTGTTATTGATTTGACTCTGATTGTATTTGTTAAACCTGTAAATTGTTGCAGTTTTTATAAAAACTCAAAGCAAAATAAAGTCCTTATCTGAAACACTAGGAAGTAGTGTATTCCAGTGGTCAGCAAAGGACTGGGAATCAAAATTGTGTTCTGTTCCCAACTCTGTCACCGACTTCAGTGTGTGACATTAGGTACATCACCTGAACCTTCTGTGCCTGAGTTTCCACATCTGTAAGGTAGGCTAATAATTACCCACCTTTGCAAAGTACTTTGAGATGCTTGAATGAAAGGAGCTATAAGTGCAATGTATTGTTATTTCTTGTTAATGCCACTGGCCTCTCTCCTTTTCCAGCTGATTGTGGATCTCACTCAAGAGAGAGATTATCTGCAGTCTCAGCAACCACCAAGTCCTCTGAAAACATCTAGTCCAGATTCTTCACCAAACCTAGCCAATCGTCTCTCCAATGAGGACAAGCAGCACCTGGCTGTTGAGCTGGCAGACACAAGAGCAAAGCTGAGAAGGGTCCGACAGGAATTGTAAGTCACTAAACGCCTGGGCTGCTGGAGAAACGCTCTCTATTTCAGGTTCTTTGCTAACAGCGACAAGTAAACATGTATTAAGCCTGAGTCTGCAGCATCGGGTTGCCCATTGGCTTCAACACCTTGACTTGTCTCGGAGTTCTACATGCAGACTTGCTGTAGATTTGGGTCTTGTAGGTTGGGGGTGACGGGTTGCTCAAGGAAAGGATGTGCGCAAAGTAGCTGGCTTCACCTTTTCCCATCTTCCCTCTTTCTTGTCACCAATCTCAAACCTCCATTATTTTGTCTTTCCCTTCCCTCTTTTCTTGCCTTCCCACATCCCTCACTCTTTCTTCCTTCTTTCCCTCCCCACCCCATGCCATCCTTAAGTTTTCAAAGATTGTTGATTCCAGCTGGTATTTCCCCTTCCCTACATGCATACACATTACCCTCGCTTGTTGGCAGTGATTGTTGGGAAGAACTGGTTACAAATGACGGTGGCAGCAGGAATGGCAGGTGAAATGATGATTTAAAAAAGAGAGACAGTCCCAAATTTCCTGTGGCTCCGGGCCCCACAAGAAAACATCTGTAGCTATTGGTAACTGGAGCAGCACCAAGAAAATCTAGAAGGTCTCATGTCCAGATTATCCTGGTGGACTCCTGTGACTAATACCCCCTACATCTTGCCATGATGTTAATGCCATAAATACTGTTCCAAGAACCCTTGTTATAGTTTCTTATTAAGTTTTCCCTAATCATTTTCAGGGAAGAAAAATCTGAGCAACTCGTGGACACTAAACATGAAGCAGAACAGCTCGTACTAGAGCTGCAGAAAATAAAACAGGAGGTAAGTGGAGCTTCTTCAGTTGTAACACCGCCGTGACACACATCACTTTAAATATTGCTTTCAATAGTAAGATAAAAATTCTTCTCATGAAATTTGAATGAAAATGGAACCAAGTTACTGCAGCATGTTGTGTGTTGGTCTGATTGTGACAGAGTAATGCAGTGACTTTACTGGTGAGAGCAGGTCTCATCTGCTCAGTTCACCGACTAGTCCAATAATGCCTGGAGCACATACAGCGCTGATCATTGAAAACTGAAGAATCCCTGTAGCCTGAGTTACCACTCAATCCTGCAATGAGTTTGATGGCTAATTGAAGAGTTCTCCACACTTGCACTGTGGTCTCACTCTTGGCTTTCCATTCACTTCCGCTCATTTGGACTTGGGGGCAGGGGAAGGGGTATGTCATGAGTTTTACTAGAATGGGGGGGTTAATTTTATTTTTTTCCGTTTGTCTGTCACTTTTCCCAGAACATCCACCTGGCAGCTGATGCACGCTCTGCCCGAGCATACAGAGATGAACTGGATTCACTGAGAGAGAGAGCAAACCGAGTCGAGAGACTCGAGATGGAACTGGTCCGGTGTAAAGAGAAACTGCATGATGTGGATTTCTACAAGGCTCGTATGGAGGCAAGTGAAGATCAGGAAAAAAATCTGCTGTGCAGGACCCATTTTCCCCAGTGCTGCTCACCAGTTCATGCTTCATTTGTAATCACTCTCACTCTACCAGCACATTAAAGCAAACTGAAGTTCCAGAAAATACCTGATGGCTTTTGAAAGCACTCAGCAATGGCCTAGCTCTGCTCCCCCATTGGAGTCAGTGGTAAGACTCAACAGTGAAAGATGGGCTAGGCCAGTGCTGAAAAGCCCCCTCGTTATAGATCTATTGGGTCTCCATTATGTGGCTGACTGTAGCAGCCCTGTTCTTTGACACTACAGGTCTGGGTCCTCTTTGCAACTTCCTTGCAGTACATTTTCAAGCTGTCTTTGTGCCAGAGTTGATTCTTTGGCCAAAATTTTCTATTTGTGAGTACCCTGTGCTAATTATCTAAATAAGTGGCCTGATTTTTTCAGAGGTTCTTAGCATCTGTGGCTCCGATTGAAGTGGCTAGAAATTTTTAAGTATAGATTCAGATGGCAAACTTTAGGAATCGAAATCTGCAAATGTTGGCCTTAGTAAATAACAGAGAAACTGCTCTTAAGTGGAGTGTTTGTACTTATAAGTTTATGCTATTAGTAATACCAATATCTTCTGCTTAGCCACTTCAGGCCACTGCTCATCCTATTTCACTCTCTTTCTAGGCCTCTTGGCTAATCTCATCTTTAACTCTTGAGATCCCCTACATTTCCCTGATACAGAGGGATACCTTCCACCCCATTTCAGTTCACCCACAGTACAAGCACCTAATTCTACCCTTCTGGAGTTTTTCTACTGCTCATTCTTACTAATTCTTTTCCACCTAAAACTAATAGAGAGGGAGATCTGAGGATTCTGTGCTAGAAACATAGATGGACCTGTTTCTGGTAATGTGGGAAGTGTGACAGACCCAGACCAGTGGGGTACAGGAGTCTGGTAGAGGGCAAATATACTGGTCACTGGATGAGTAGTTTTCTGTTCCCTGAGTGACCAGAGCAGGGGCTGCACTAGAGTAATCAGGAACCTGCTAGAACCAGTTAAGGCAGGCAGGCTAATTAGGACACCTGGAGCCAATTAAGAAGAAGCTGCTAGAATCAATTAAGGCAGGCTAATCAGGGCGCCTGGGTTTTAAAAAAAGGAGTTCACTTCAGTTTGTGGTGCGAGTGTGAGGAGCTGGGAGCAAGAGGCGCAAGGAGCTGAGAGTGAGAGGGTGTGCTGCTGGAGGACTGAGGAGCACAAGCGTTATCAGACACCAGGAGGAAGGTCCTGTGGTGAGAATAAGGAAGGTGTTTGGAGGAGGCCATGGGGAAGTAGCCCAGGGAGTTGTAGCTGTCATGCAGCTGTTACAGGAGGCACTATAGACAGCTGCAGTCCACAGGGCCCTGGGCTGGAACCCGGAGTAGAGGGCGGGCCCGGTTCCCCCCAAACCTCCCAATTGACCTGGACTGTGGATTCTTCCAGAGGGGAAGGTCTCTGGGCTGTTCCCCAACCCACATGGTGAATCTCTGAGGCAAGAAAATCCGCCAATAAGCGCAGGACCCACCAAGATAGAGGAGGAACTTTGTCACACAAGATAGCAGTGACCTTGTGGCAGGAAGGGTTGCCTCAGTGCCAGGGCTGTCCTTAGTCGGGTGCGGGGTCTGGGGCGGAAGTGACAAATCCGTCACTTCTGGGACCGACCACACCAGCCAATCGGTCCGGCCCACAGGGCCCCTCAAAGCGCAGGGCCTGGAGCAGTCACCCCGATTCACAGCACCCAAGGGACGGCTCTGCTCAGTGCATTTGCATTAGCCCTGCTTGCTTCTGTTAGGGTTCATGCTGAAGAAAATTGATAGACTCAACGTGTGACTAAGATTATGGGAAACAGCTGTCAACAAATACTTCACTGAATCTACTGTATATGGGCTCCAGAACTGAATCAGACTAATACTGAAGTCCTCTACCTTACAGCATCCAAGTCGCTTGTTTATTTTACTGTGTATGAAACCTTTATGGTAACCAAAAACAGACAAAATTCTTCTGCTTGTCCTATGGATAAATATCTGATTGTGACTGTCATGCCACTAGCAACAATGAGAATGTTTTGGGCTGGTTGAGTAATTCTTTGCCTTTCCAATGGAAGAATGTGGCACTTTAGCCAGAGTCAGATGCAATCAAAAGACTGTCTGAGATGGATTCTGGAGGCTGAATCTTGGAATCATGTAGTCCCAATTCTGCTTACATTGAAGCCAGTGGAAATTTTGCAATTGACTTCAAGATTGGGCCCAAACTGTAAGTATATAAAGCTCCTGGCTCTGAGATAATGGAGTGTCACTAAAACATATGCCCATAACACTCCCTGCTGAAAACATGGCAGTTCTTTATAGTTTGCAAACCTCGCCTTGTAAATACATTTTTCTCTTTGCCAACCTAGGGGACCAGCTGTCCACTGCGTCTTATGAATAGGTCCACTAAGCGTGCTGAGTATCAAATGTATAAACTGCAAACTGAGGCAGGCTTCTCTCTGCAGGCAATTTCCAGTTTACTGGAATCTCTTACTGTAAGTCGTCTCTCTCTCCTACTCCCCTCAAGCTGGCAAATCAGTTGTGCATTAACCCTATCATGCACACTAGATAGCAGAGCCACGTCTTGTGCTGCTGTACTTTAGTCTGCTGCCCAAAGCATGCAGAGGAGTTGGTTCTGGTAGCATGGGAGAGGCTAGTGCTTCCTCTTATCTTCATCTGAGACAAGAGGGCAGCCATTCTATTGTACTGTACTTGGGTTCTCAGCACTGTGGCTTGCCCTAGAGCCAGCAATACCCTCAAACTAACCACTTCTGCTTCATATGTGCTAAGTTAACTTGATCCATAATGTAAAATTTACAGAGCTCTCCTTCATGTCTTTTCTTCCATCCCTTATGCAGTCTCCCACCTCTGTCTCTTCCGTGTTGGGTGTCAAGGTTCTGCATCATAGGTGAGATTCTGTGCTGCATCTCTAAGAGCTGCAATCTGGAGGCATGGGGATGGAGCAAAGGTCATTTTACATCTTCTTGGCACCTTTCGAACTCTGTTTGCTCTAGGGGGTCAATGTGTCCTCTGGCATAAGTTAGGAGCTGCTTCAGCTGCCTTTGGGCTGCTCCACAGTGTAAAATTCCCAGTATTTTGCATTCCAGCCACTCCTTGTCCTAAATACCCCAGCACATCCCAAGATGTAGAAGGGCAGCATAACTCTGTCTCCTTTGGCCTTGTGCTGCTCCTGCCGGCTGCATTCAGGAAATTCCGCAGGGGGGATTTTGGCCCTCTTATGTTGCTGTACCAATGTAAAGGGGCTTCAATGAGGCCAGAATCTGACAATGTATATGTCCTTCAGACAGTGTTATCCCTCAGTTTCCCTTCCATTTCCCCCCTGCCTCAAGCAACTGTCCTTCAAAGTGAGGTGTAATGAATAGGACTTAATTCAGAGCTGTGCCTGCTCACACTTTTCTCACCCCCTTGAAAAATAGCTGGATTTACAGTTTCCTCAGAACCACTCCCAGTGTCAGAGCAGGGGTCTAGTTCTAGTCTCTCACTTGACGGTGAGAGATACCACTAGGCTATAAAGCTGATCCAACTCCCCTGACGCTTATTGGTAGCTTCCTAAGCTCAGAGGGTCCGAGACTCTGAAACGAATTTCACATAGATGGGGCCATTTTAACTGCATGCACTTCAATGAAGAAACATATGATGGGCACTTAACAAGCCTCTAGTTCTGGTACTTGAAGTACAGCCATGAAAACATGCCCCTAAAGAATGTCATCTCCGGGCAGTGGTCATGAAAGTGCCATATGGAGGGCAGCCCATGTGAGGCAGTTTACAAGAGGTAAGAGTAGAGAAATTGGAGTGAGACTTTAAATAGCTCCTTAAACCACAGGCTAAAAGTCCCTAATGGCAGGAGGGAGATTAGAGAAGCTGTCTTAGAACAAGTGCAAAAGGAGCAAGCCTCACTGCAAGTGAGCGAGACTTGACATGTCTGAGCAGGTGAATGTTTTCCTTCCGCGTCTTTCATGACAAGAAGAAATTACCAAACACTGTTTTAATTTGATTATAGCTCTAAGAAAACACAATGCAAATGCAGTCTATGGATTTGCCCGCTGTGGTGGCTTAATGAGGTCATAGCTATCAATGTGCAGGGGCAGGCTTAATGCAGTGCTTCCTCTGAGCAGGTGGGTCCCTCCAACATAAAAACCCTGCTGCAGCATTCCTCTCCATTGAGTCTAGTGCCTCTCCAGGAGATCAGATTCTTTTTGGAAGCCAGGGAGTCTTACTTGCATTTTTTCCTCCCCCAACTGCAATAAGTTTCCCCACAGGATAATAGGAAGAAATTCCTGTGAACATTTAAAAAAAAAAAAAAGCATTTTTTACATTTTCATTTAGTTTGATGGATGCAAAATGCAATTATTCCAGGGCATTCGTTAACATTTTTGCAGCTCAGCGGGAGCAACTTCCATAGCATCAGGTGTGTGTGTGTGAGAGAGAACTCTCCAGTTTCAATTGAATATTAAACACTCTGAATATTAAACACACTGAATTAAACCATAGAATTTGGTCTGCAGCCTTAACAACATGGGCCCCAATCCTGCAAATACTTATGCCAAGATTTAATTTTAAGTGGTCTACTCATGGGCATAAGTGTTTGCAGGATCAGGGCCCATGTTGTTAAGGCTGCAGACCAAATTCTATGGTTTAATTCAGTGAGAGGTTTATGAAGGCAAGATCAGAAATTGTTGGATATTTTATAGTCATAGTTAGTTTTAAGGTAAATTTCCTCTAATTGATTTTGAATCTCTTATAAGTAAACATATTATAAATCTTAAAAGACCATAGATAACTATTCTGTGCTGTTGATTTAAAAATACCCCACGGCTATAAAACCATTTTGAGAGTTTTATTAATTTAAAAGGAAAAAAAATCTTCATTCCCATGAAGAATACACTCAACCATTCTGCTTATCTAATACAAAAATGATTTATAGCCAAACCAATTCTCAGGTCAGTTGTGCTACTCTAGGGTTATCTGTGGTGACATTAGTTATAATATGCTGTGCTAAGAACAATTCTACCTTCCAGGCTCTGAGATATAACTTTATAAAGCTATCCTGGAGTAATTACTTAAATTAAGTTTGCACTATAAAGATGACCTCAGAAAATGGGTGCAAGTAAATAATGTTGGCCCAACTTTAACAGGCTTCTGCAAAAGGTTCTTAATTTAAGATTTCATCAGAAACCTTCTGATCTGACAGGTCTTCCTCCCCCTCGCCCCTCAGGCACATGCATAGTGCGTACCTCCCATTTCTCAGATATTATGGCTCCCAACAATATGTGATTTGCAAACAGAGACCAAATATGTGTATACCTTACTTGGCACACAGTTAGACTCTTCATGAGACACTGAAATAATCAGTTCCTGCTTGGTAAGCAGTTTCAGAGATAGTTCTGAGGTGATGTTTATGAGGTCAAACACCATCTTACTTCTCACGGCTGTGGTCCAGACTGAGCAGGACAATTTGTTAAATATATTCTGATTGACCCATTGTTTCAATATGAGTATTTTTGGTACTTGTTTTATACCCAGCATGCTGCCTGTTTGTTTTTAACTCCACTCACACTCATCTGTTTTGGTGTCAGACAGTTTAACATATCCCTCCACTCTGGTCAAACTTGGTCCAAAATTTAGGTCTTAAAATATCAGAGTTTCAACACTTTCTCTTTATTCATTTACTCACAGACGTCTCTATTGCAGTCACCATCATAGTATCTTCTGTGAGCACAAAGTGCAATCATCCCTATTTTACAGATGGGGGGAACTGAGACACACATCGATTAAGGGACTTCTCTAGGTCTAGGATATCACGGGAAGTTTGTACCAGAGCCGGGAAACGGAATCCAGAGTTCCTGAGTCCCAGTCCAGCCTTAACCACAAGAACATCCTTTCTCTTTTTATAAAACCTAAAACTAATAGAAATGTTTCTCCATGGATTCTTACTACTACTGGAATTGTTCCAAAAACACATTCATCTAAAGTTTTGCAACAGCTTTGCACTAATCAGTTTCAGTGTGATGGGGACTTAAAAGCCATTCCACACAATAGGTGATGGAAGTGCTGGTTCTAAGCAGTAGCAACAATAACCAGGGATTTTTCTTTTCTATGGGCCATGAGATTTTTTTTCCCCTGCCAAAGTTTATTTCCAAGAAATTGCAGCACATCTCCACCCCACAGCACTCTCTATTTCTAAGGAGGGTAGCTGATGGCTAGAGTTTTGCATACTGCGGGAAAGTCCTATGTGAATGGCAAGAAATGCCTGAAGATTAATTGGTCAACTGCTGACTCTTCCCACTGGCTTTAGGATAAATTAGGGTTAAATTGAAAGCCTTTGTAGGCTTTCTCTTTAGGTCAGCATTAATAGACTGGTTATGGGTTATGGTTAAGGGTTATGTATATATTAGGTTTGTATGCATGTTAGAGCATGTTAGAGATTTCATAACAATCTCTGCAAACTATGTTCTGAAATGCGACATTCAAACCCGGGAGTGAGTCTTACTGAGCTGCTATGAGACTTTTGAGGCCCCTGATCGTATCCTTCCAAAAATGGGAAGGCAGCTGTTGTCCAACGGATCACCACAACTTACTCATTCCTGATAATCTTTCAGTAGTCTATGTGTTTTGAAGGTTTGTTGTCCGAGAGAGCAAACTCATTCACTGATATCAGCAGAGGCTTTACAATTTGAAGGCTATTGTCCAGCAATAAACTGTCAACCCATAATTATTTCTCCGTGGATGTGTGCATGTTCCATTTTTTCTGTGTGTTGGAGGAAAAAATAAACTAATACACCTCTACCCCAATATAATGCGACCCGATATAACACTATTTCGGATATAACGCGGTAAAGCAACGCTCTAGGGGGGCGGGGCTGCGCACTCCGGTGGATCAAAGCAAGTTCGATATAATGCGGTTTCACCTATAACGCGGTAAAAATTTTTGGCTCCCGAGGACAGCGTTATATTGGGGTAGAGGTGTACAAATCTTTTTAGCGGAACAAGGTAAATTATTGGTTTTTTTTGTCCCCATTCCACCCTCGGTTCCCCTATGTAACATCTTGCTCTTTCTCATCTTTCAAATGCCATCGCATTCCTGAGTGAGAGAATTGCAGGCCTTACATGTATGTTTCTGATATCAAAAGCATTTAAAGATAAAAGTAAGCAGTCATTTATTTTTTTTTTACCTGAAATCAGACAATTTAAAGCTGTTCTGACCTGGTCAAAAACGTCAACCAGATTTTATGCTGTGCACATGCATTATTTCTGGAGATAAGGTATATGAATGCATGATGCTGCAATTTTTGCTTTGTTGTGGTTCAAACAACAAGGGGAGCACCATATAATTCACCAGCCTTGTTCCTAGAGCTGTGCTAGAACTGCTGTAGCTGCAGGACCAGATTGGTTTGTGGTGTACAAAACACAAACCAAAAATGCTGCTGGCCTAGAGGAAAAACAAAACTGTTGATACAGTTAATGATTGTGTCAGGTGTTTAAGAGGTCATTGCAAACCAGTGCTTCTTTAAGTGAAATAAAGCCATGTACATGAGAAAGAGGGAAAGAGAATTCTTTCTGACATGTTATTGAAAGGACCTTTTCATGTAAATGTTCCCGTAACCTCTAAAGGTCTAGGTCTGTTTATTTATATGTGCACTCTCTGTCTTCCAAGTGCTTCACCAACGTTGATATTGGAACATTTTAAAGTGTAAATCCTTGTCTTCATGGGATCTTCATATGTAAAATTGTAATTTTAGAGGTAATGATTAAAAGATGCTATTCATAGTTAAATATCCAGTATTTCAATGCCCTTGTTATAGGTGTGCTATATATCCTTTTTTTCAAACTATAGTTTATTAAAGTTGGCTGTTTGAAACGTAAAATTCTGAAACTATTAACTTCATATGCTGTTTTTCTTTTTGTGTTATAGGAATTGAGAGAAGACAACATCATATTAATTGAAACAAAGGCTATGCTAGAAGAACAGTTAACAGTAGCAAGAGCTCGTGGTGATAAATTGCATGAACTAGAGAAGGAAAACTTGCAATTGAAATCCAAACTTCATGATGTAGAGCTGGTACACTCTTTATTTAACTATGCGATTTTTTTTTTTTAAATCATATTTTTAAACTAGGTTTCATACTCTTTTTACATAATCTAGTGGAGTTGGACAAATCCCGTTTTCAATGTGTCTCAGGCCATGTGAACTTTGTGTCAGTGCACAGTGCCTCATGCATGCTTAAAATAGCGTGACACTCGACTTAAAATAAAATATATTTATATTTTATATAAATATAAAAAAATATGATCTGCTTGGGAGAAGCAAACGGTTTGACAGATTTCAGGTTACATGAGCATATATCACCAAGTTTCAAATACTGAACCTATGTACATGGATGTTAGAGGGTTTAGAATGTATCTTACACATGGGATATGAAAATCTGCTGCAATGAACAACTGTTCTTGCTGAAAATAAAATTTATAGTTATTGCAGCAGGTCTATGAGGCATTGACCACTGCAAAAAATAAAATGTTCTCAATATTTAATACTACATAAATCAGAGAAAAGGGGCTTATTCATTTGAACACAAATGAGAGACTTAAGACCTGGCAGTTTATCACTCACAACTAAAAGGCTAATAAATTACATTGGACATTTATTATTGCATTAAACATAAGAAATGTTACTTCATGTGCCGTGATTTTAGTTACTAGTGTTCCTCATTCTTATGGGTTCGTTGTTCTGAATTCTTGCAAAGTGTGGTCATTTATTAACCTGAAAAAGATTTTGCTGGAATGGAGGTCTTGGTCAGATCCACTAGTGTTATGCTAAATGCATAGCTCAGAACACTGTAAATTAAGAAATGAATGATACCCAAGATTTTCAAAATTGGCTCATAATTTTGGGTGCCTCAAATTTTGGGTGCCCATCTTGAGATACCTTGAAGAGGCATAACATGCAGAGGGCTGGCGCGCCTTTCAGGTGTCTCGAGTTGAGCAACCAAAAATGTATTGCCCCAAATCACTAACCTAGCTGATGTCTTTCATGTTAGGTGTGTTTTGCCTGTCTTAGTGTATTATGTATTAGCGTATTATGTAGCATATAGAGATGGTTGTTCTCATTTCAATGCAAATATCATGCATGTAAATATTATTCGGAGTGATGCAAGTGTCTTATAAGGAGAAAGGGGTGGGGAGTGTGTGAGAGAGAGAGAGAGGAAAAAATAAAAAAAAGCATGCCTGCATCTATATGCTACACCAGTACTGTGACTGGGACAACTATTCATCACTCTCTAAAGTCTATCCCATTCAATACCAACTCACTTTAATGGAAATTGTTCTGTGTATATAAGCCTATTTTTCATCTGTTCATTAGAATAATTCCCATTTTGTCAATCAGCAGTAAAAAACTGACTTCCATTGGGAAACGTTGAACAGTGTCTCATTGAGCCCATGCATATTTGGTGCATTTTGCATGTGAAAGGCAAGAATTAAATCAAGAAGTTAATGTCAATTAGAAATTACTGATTTCCTACCCTAACAGCACTTAGTTCTAATTACAGCATGTGGTGTCACCTGGTATGGTAGTTTTTTTTTTTTTTTTTAATTAAATTATATGAATTTATTTTCCATTTATTCACACAGTTTCTTTGTTAAAAAGCTGTGTGAAACTGATAATGATGTGACATGAAGATTTCACTTCTTGGCATTTCAAGAAATGAAGAAAAAATATCTTTGATTCTGTGATGCTTATCTTCAGCTTTAGGAAGAGCAGAGAGCTTATTGTGAGCCCAGATAGTGTCAAAAAGTTGTCAAGTTAGTAGTGAAATTATGCAGGCTTGATTGATTAAACATGTCTTGAATCGTCTAAACCAAAACCCTGGATCTTTGTACCTCTGAACCTGGGGAAGTTTCATTTGGGATCTGGCCCATCCAGAGGGTGGCTTTAATCTTGGATCTGTGTGGGGTCTCTCTTAATATTGTATGTGTATATTAACATATGCACACATGTTGTGTAGAGGGGTCCGTTCAATTCTTGATACATTCATCACTCCTAGTAACAATAACTGTGCAAGCCTGATCAGGCTCCCTAGTTAATACGCTCAGCATGACGTTCCATTTGCATGCTCTTTCCACAGGACCGGGACACAGACAAGAAGCGAATTGAAGAGCTGCTGGAAGAGAATATGGTACTGGAGATCGCGCAAAAACAGAGCATGAATGAGTCTGCACACCTGGGCTGGGAACTAGAACAGCTGTCAAAGAGCACAGACCTCGCAGATAGTAAGTAGCAGTCATGAGGTGACTCTTAATTATTATTGTGCTTGTGCAAGGTTTCCTTGTAGAAGAGGAGGGGGGAACAAGTTACTGCATTGGGCAGGAGCAAAACCTCAAACTCCAGGCTCAATAGTTCACATGGGGAAATAAATTTCCATATTTAGCCACTTGACTTTTTATTATTTAAACTGAACAAAAAGCTTCTAACAATGCCACAGTTTCCAGCTTCTTTCCTTATATTATGTAACTATTAACAATGACTTCTTTATATTTAAACCTCCCTTGAGAAAGTGCCCAAAAATAAACAAACACGCCCGTATATTGCACAGTAATGATCCCAGCACAAGGTATTTTTAACTAAATAGTTAGTGGCTGGGAGGAGTCGATGACCCTTCTCTACTCCCAGCTGATCTTTAAGTCCCAGGAAAAAGCCTATGCTGTGAGGTAACTATTTTTAATAGTAGGCGAAAAATGAGTGGGAGGGAGGGGAAATAACCGGCTGGATATTTTTTAAGTGGGTGATTCACTTTCAGTAATTATATGCAAGACATAAAAAAAAAAATCAGTGCCCTGTATCATAGGCTTGATAATTGGTTTCTTTCATAAAATTAATTCAGTTTATAATACTAGGGTACAAAATCATATTTTAAAGAATCCTGGTATATATAACAGGATGTTACTGGCAGAAGTTTTCAGTATCCGAACTTTACTGAACACTTACCTAATCCCTTAAAGACTCATGCCCATGCTTAGCTTTACACACGATGGGTAGGTTCGTTGATGTCAGTGGGGCAAATCACATTATGTAAACCTTAGCACGTGCACGTGTCTTGGTAAAATCAGGGTCTTGTAAAGTGACTATATGTAAAAATGGCACCACCACCTTGCTCCTCCGATTGGCTTGCTGTATGTATTCTGAGCTATATCTACTAACAGTAGTGACTAATTAGTTCTTGTTACTTTGTTAGCCCTGCAGAGCGAGCTCAGCAAGTTCAGAGAGGATGAACTGTATTCTGGTTCTTCTTGTGCAGCAAAAATACGGTTTCATCAACATTGAAACATTTTGGGAAATGCAATTTTTCTATGACAAATTTGAAACAGTGCAAAAATTTCTGCCTCGTTTCAAATTGCAGGGTTTTTTTGTTTTTTTTTCTAGTTTTTCCCCTCCTTTGTTTGCTTTTTCCTGTATTTCTCTTTTGCCGCTGAATATATTAGAATGAATGATGTCAAGGTTCTTTCCCATTTTTCGTTTTTGTTTGTCCATTTTGTAACCTTTCAAAACGTCCTCAACTTTAGAAAAGTTATAAAGGGGGAATAATAATTAATGATAAACTTTGTAACTCTTCAAAAGTTGTAGCTTTTCAAAACTTCACCAGAGTAGCAAAAGAAAAGTGGAGGGGAGTCAACGACATCATTTATTTTATTGCACTCAGTGGCAAAAGAAAAAAAGGGGGGGGGGGAGAGGCAAATTTATGAAAATCTGAATAAAAAATCATTAAAATTTTGGAAAAAAACAAAAAGTTATTTCATTTTTTTGAACCCTGTGAAATGAAAATAACTTAAAAATTTCAAAATCTTTCCCAAAAATGTTTTCCTATTTTTCAGCCAGCTCCATTTATGAAGTTCCAGTTAGTTACACTTTAATCCCACTGAGGACAGATGAATTGTGCAGATGTAACTGAGAGCACAGTTTGGTCTCCAGAACTTTTATTTTAGCTGTGGTGATGATCAGTAAAGAACCCAGCTTGACTGTTGGATCTCAGGTTGAGTTTGGAAGGATGACACATAGAAACCCCCCCCCCTTTTTTTTTTTACTTGTAAACTGAGCACAGTTGATACAGAAATCAATGGGCAACAATAAGCATGGAAACCAATAAAGCCACTTTTAAAGTCTTTATTTCAGAATATAATTGAAATTGAACCATGCTGATGGTATTAGTGTTAAACATCAATGCAACCAAAACTCACCAGCGTATTGCTCATAAAGATCATGGATGTTGTAAACCATTCAACCTCCCAGGAGTTTCTGCCAGTTGTAAGTAGGGTGACCAGACAGCAAGTGTGAAAAATCGGGACGGGGGTGTGGGGTAATAGGCTTCTATATAAGAAAAAGCCTCAAATATCGGGACTGTCCCTATAAAATCGGGACATCTGTTCACCCTAGTTGTAAGTGCTATTTAAGGGGCTGTAGCAGCACTACATTTTGTCTTTCTTCCTGCAAGGATGAGTATTTTCTAAGACTAGAACACAGAGTTAATGTCACTTGCATGTTAAACATATGATTTTTATGTAGAGAGTAGATCTGTTACATTTGAAACAGGAAGTAGAATTTTAGTTACTCCAGTGCTGAGTTACTAAAATCAAGCACTGTGAAAAAGGTAAATGTGCAATGGAGACGCTGGTATTGGGAAATGTCACATGAAATGTGATAAAACTTGTGAACTCTAAACACCTGGGGTGAAATCCTGGCTCTGTTGAAGTCAGTGGCAAAACTCACACTCATAGAGAATTCTCTGTGATTGATGCTTAGTGCATGTGTATTCAGCCTTAAAATACACACACTGCTTCAGTGTGTGCCTGTTAAAGCAGTTGGGTAACCCAGAGCACTGGCACCCATTCACGTGAGCGATTTCGGTGGTTAATATACAAGTTTTAATTGGCCATCTGCTGAAGCTGCAACTTCATGGTATAAATGATTGAAAATGGCATTTTTCCTAGTTTCAGATGTTGATTTTTTTTAAAGAATTTCTATCTCAGCAAAAGTGTGTCACACCAAACGTTTCTAGTTAACCATTCAACTTAGTAGCTAACCTGATTCTTAGATCAGACTATGAAAATAAGCAGCTTTTGCGATATGTCTTTGGACACTTTCCTGTTCATGAAGGGGTGTAACTATTATCTATGGAAGTATGTTTCATTTTTTTTTATGTAGGTGTTTTTACTTAGGGACCACTCTACCACCTAAGATCAGCTGAAGTCCTAGGGGTCTGGCCCTAATTATCTATGTTTTATGATCCTAGAAATGATAACATGTTTATGAATGTGTATAAACTCCTGCATTCTGATTCTTGTGTTTCAACAGCTAGAAAGTCCTTTGTGTTTGAGCTAAACGAATGTGCATCGAGTCGCATTCTGAAGCTAGAAAAGGACAATCAGAGCCTGCAAACCACCATCCAAGAGCTCCGAGATCTCTCTTTGACCACGGAAGAGAGCAGCCTAAAGTTTGTAGAGCTGGAAAAGGAGAATCAACAACTTAGCAAGAAGGTAACTCTCTCTAGGTTCATGCTGGCCTAGCTATTTGGGAGCTGATTCTGCTGTTTCTAACGGTGTGCTGGAACTAGACCTGTTACACTCTGCAGCTTACAGCATTCCTGAGTGATGCTTGATGGCAGTACTGTCAACTCTGGAGAGCTCATGCATGTTCTGCATGAGGTTCTCAACTCATTTTTTAGTGCTTGCCTAGATAATTATAGTTGTCCTCTTCCTTATATATGCACTTCATGGAGCTATTCTGCCACTGGCAGATTGTGCTCTTGTCCCACTGCCTGTTCCATGACAAGTATTTCCTCAGCTTGTTCTGTTACAGAGGAGAAAACCATGGGCTACACTCATCCTTTGTGTAATTCCATTTAAACCAGTGAAGTTACATGAAAGGTGAGTTCGGCCCGATATATTTTTAAAGAAACGTCCTCTGCTATTCAGGGTCCTTGATTGACTTCTCTGGCTATCACAGCGTTCTGCTGCATCTCCCCTTCCCACAAAGCCACGGGTTCTTTTCATTCCTGGTAATGAATGTGCTGCTAGTCACATTTTTTGCTACACTCCCTTATCAACTGTTAATACTTTTAGCTCATGTGCCAGCCCAGCTCTGCCTTTGGAAAGGAGTGTTCAGTTCTGCCACAGCCACCTGCTTTGGTTTTGTCTGGCTACAGCATGCATTCTGATCTCCAAGTAACAGACCCAGTGCCAGCGAGGAAACAGGATGCTTCTTAGTTTGATGCATTTGAAGAATTCCCATGTAAGGGACTTAGTTCTCCTCACCCCTCTATATAACACTACACGTGTTATGGGGCCTACTCCTGCCTTTCTCTTTGCTGCTATAACTAATGTCTTTTGTGGTATTGATACAAGGTTATACGACACTTTGGCCCTGAAACATATTGAGCTCCCCTCTTTGCTCAGCTTCCCGTTAAAGATGTGCTGGACCATTAGGATGCCCTAAATGAGAGCGCCCATTTGCTGTTTTGTAGATAGTAGTCTAGATGTAGATTGGCTGATTATAATTAGCACAGTACCTGCCTCTATGCCAGTGAGAGGGGGTTGGCATCCCCTTACTACAGGGAGCACTTTGAAGGATGCTTTTGCCAAGGTGAGAGAACAAAATCCACTTCTCAAAGTCCCTATCTGGGCAAGAGAGAGAGTCTGCAAAAATTCATCTCTCCCTATTCCCACTCCATTCCCTCACGGCCCCTTTGTGACAGTCATTCAAACTAGGTTCTGTAATTAAAACACTCAGAACTTGAGATCTAAGGGTATAAAGTGCCCAACAAATGTCTCTGGTGCCCAGCAACTTAAGTCATTTGAACAGCTGCAGTTGACTTTGGCTTACCACATACATATTTCTTTGATACCTCAAGTTGTGGCACTATATCAGTACCAGCACTTGTGGGCCCAGCATTAGTCTGATTTGCTACTGTTTTGGCAGTGGGAGAGTGTTACCAAGCCTGGGTTACCTAAAGGTTTGATCCCCACCCTTAAATGAGTAGGATTACCCAGTAATAGAGTGTGTCAGTGCAGGGGCAGGGCAGAATGTGTGGGCATGAGACAGAGCAAAAATGCCAGTGGGTTTAAAGTGTTGTGATCAAGAACAGCTGAGATTCATGAAACAGAACTAAAATTTTTTGCTAATGATGCATCACTTAGACTATGATGGGAGGCAACCTAGTCTGCGAGTGTTGACTGAATATCACAATCTGATCATATTGCTGGTGACTCTGTCACCTATTCAAGGAGATTTGAAAAGAAGTTACTGCACAGTCATTTGCCTGCTCAACTACTGTGTCAGTGGTACATGGTCTGTTGATACTAAGAGATATAAGGCTTGTAATGTATCTTACATTGGGTTTATCGGGTGTTTTTTGTTTTTTTTTTTAACAAAATGTGTCTTCCTCACACATGCTGTGTGGAGACCTATAATCCTGAGATTCCTGATGCTGACAAAACTGCATGTCCAAGAATGATCAATGGGATTTTTGTAGAGTGGGAAAGTATTTTTTGTTTTTAATGCAGCAGCAAAGCAAATATTAATGGTGGGGGAGACTCAGAACTTGTACACAAGTGGCCTGGGTGTCAGATATAGGGAATGTGGAAAAGGGGTGATGATAGAGGAAGTTTTAATGGAGGAAGAGGTAATTTAAAAAACAATGGTAAACCAAACCATAGTTCCCTCAGACTTGCTTGATAGTTAATGCAAGCAGGAAGAAAAGGACACTATAGTGTTGAGTGTAAGGACTATTAAAGACAATAGGGCAAAATGTTGATGTAAGTGGAGAGATCAAAGAACTAGCAGCCACATTTTTAGACGTTTTTTCTAATTTCATGTGCCTCCATTTTGGGTGTCCAACTTGAGGTACCAGGTGTGAAATCCTGGCTTCATTGAAAACAATGAGAGTTTTACCATTGACTTAAATAGGGCCAGAGTTTCACCCCTAGTCCCTGACGAACTTTCAGATTTCTGAAAATTCTGACCTAAATTTGTATAGTTCGTTAAACAACTTTCAGAAGGGAAGGGTTAGTTTGCTCAGTCTTGTTGGTTTGACATAACAGATAGATAGCATCTTGGCCATCTATTTAATCTCTTCTTTTCAAAATGCCCTGAAATAAAAATAGTCATGGTTCAATTTGTTGTCTGATGTATTTTGTGGTGCTTTCTCCGTGCAGATTGAGAAGTTGCAAAATCAGATTGAAAAAGAGAAACAAAGCAACCAAGACTTGGAGACCTTAAGCGAGGAGCTGATAAAAGAGAAAGAACAGCTACAGGGTGTCATGGAGACTGTAAAAGCCGACAAAGACAGACAGGTGCCGACTTCACAGATGTGATCCAAAAGCTTATGCTCAGTAGTGGTCATTTTACCATGGCCATTTAGAGGGTCTCGATGGCTCAGGGGGTTGGTAATAGCCCGCAGAGTGTATTGCATGCAGAACACTTGTTCAAATACAAGTCAAGGTGGCTTTGAGCAAAAATAACTACATGTGATGGTGTCTGCTGCTCATCCCATTGCTCTTTGGGAGCCTTCAGGTTCTTTGTAACATTGGTTCTTCCCTGCCCTTCAAAAAGCCTTGACTAGACAGATTAGGATGTACAACTCAAATCCCATCTTGCTGAAAAAGATTGGATTGATACCAGCTATGTGTCATGGTAGTTTTCTTAGACTTCCTTGATCTAAGTAAAAAAATGCTGAGAAAGCTACTACACCCACAAGACTGACATTTTAAATACCCTGCAGCCTTTACTGCTGTGATGCAATTCAAGTACAATACCACTATTTTACAAGCTTACAAGGTGTCATTCATACTTAGTAATTTAATAATGGGAATAGATGTGTAGGTCATTGGAGAATGGTGTGCTTGCTTTTAAAATATATTAAATTGATTTGTGTGACAAGGCTGGGGTGAGGTTAAATAATAAAAGTAAACCTTGCATTTATATGTAGTGCCTTTCATCCTGAAGCATTCTTAAGTGCTTTACAGATTTATACTCCGGGAAAACTCCACCTCTGAAATACAGCTGTGGTGAAGCACAGCTGCTGTGTAAAAGCACACAGGAATTCTTCATGACATGATAGGAAGTGGACGCTTCACATTTAGGAAAGGAAGTGAAGAAAACTCGAGTAGGCACAGACTAGGGTAGGGATGGCCTTTACTCAGGCCTAACTCCATTTGACTTCAGTAGGTGTTCTGCCTGAGTAAGAACTAGGTAAAAATCTGACTAAAGATTTGAGTATTTGGTCCAACGTAACTACCTCAGCTGGAATTTGGCCAAGAAATTGTGATGAACTCTCTTCCCTTACAAAGAATATTTTTTTAATGAACTCTTTAACAACTACTAGTGTTCAGCACATTAATTTTACATCTTATAAGAAAAAGGGCACTTGTGCTTTCAGTTTTCACAGTGATAAGTGGAGAATATGAACCTAAAAAGAGAGGGAACAGTGCCTCTGAGCACTGTGCTAGGGCATTGGTTCAATCTGACTCAGAGACAGGAGTGGCTCCTCAGAAATCAAGTCCAAGCTGTTCCATGGAGATCTCCCATCCATGTACTGACTCTGCCTAGACCTGCTTAGTTCAAGATTTGAAAAGAATAAAGCACAATGTTTAACTCACTAGTACCTTGAGATACCTCGTGTATGGTATTAAAAGGGCTAGATAAAACCAAATTTTCTTCAAGAAGCCTCTTCCTTAGTTTGGATTGGTGGGGAGGGTTTGAGTCAGGGATGACAATGGGTAATGGTTGAAGAATTTGTGTTGTGTTAAATAGGCGTTGTTTTGTTAATACAGAGTTCTGACTGCTTCGAGGGTAAATTGCCAGACTGTACATTGCTCTAAAAAAACATACTCACTAGGAACACCTCAGGTACTGTCTACTTGACTATAGATAACTCTCTCCTTGTTTTATTTTTAATATAGATAAAGGACCTCAAACAAGAGAATGACCACCTCAACCAAGTGGTTTTGTCCCTGAGACAGAGGGCTCAGGTTAGTAGCGAGGCCAGAGTAAAAGACATTGAAAAAGAGAACAAGATGCTCCATGAAACAGTTACAGAGACTAGTAGCAAACTCAGCAAGCTGGAGTTTGAGAAGAAACAATTGCATAAAGATTTTGAACAGGTTAAAGAAAAGGTAGAACGTGTGGAGGAAATGGAGAAAGAGCTCCATCAGCTAGAGAGAGAGAATGAACAGCTCACAAAGAAGGCAGCAGCCATGAAAATTGTAACAGAAAAAGTTGAGGTTCTAGAGCAGGAAAATGGGGATCTGGAAGTGGAGAACAGGAAGTTGAGAAAGTCCCTGGATACTTTACAGAATGTTTCCATCCAGCTAGAGGACCTGCAGAGGGACAACAAGCAACTGGATGAAGAGAACCTGGAGCTCAGGAGGATGGTAGAGACCATGAGATTCACCAGCACAAAAATGGCACAGATAGAGGCAGAAAATAAGGAGCTGGAGAGGGAGAAAGAGGAGCTAAGAAAAAATGTGGAGATGTTAAAAACACTGGGAAAGAAGTCGGAAAGGCTGGAGCTGAGCTATCAGAGTGTGAACTCTGAGAATCAGAGGCTTCAGCAGATCCTGGAGAACAGCAGCAAAAAAACCCAAGAGCTAGAGAAAGAGCTACAGGGAATGGAAAGTGAAAATCAGGTCCTCCAGAGAAAACTTGAAGAGCTGAAGATTTCCAGCAAATGGCAGGAGAGGTTAGAAAAGGAGAACAAAGTGCTGGAGCAAGAAGTGTCCCAACTGGAGAAAGACAAAAAGATGCTAGAGAAGGAAACAAAAAGGCTTTGGCAGCAGGTAGAGTTGAAAGATGCGATTTTGGATGATAACACAGTAAAGCTGGCGGCTGTGGAGAAGGAAAACAGAACACTTGAAAAAGAAGTAGCTCGATTCAGAGACTCGTCTAATAAGATGAAAGAATTTGAAAAAGACAATAAAGACCTTATAAAGCAAGTTACCATTGATAAAAGAACACTAGCTACATTGAGAGAGGTAATCAAAATAATAATATTGCCTTCATCATATGCATTTTATTTATTTAATTTATGCTATGTAGTGTAGACAGTGGTCCATTCCATGCCAGTTTGATCCAGACCATGAATTAGGGAGACCAAGAGACCCTGTGTTGTGACTCTAGGCATCACAGGTTGTGCTGCCCGAGGAAGTGGAATCCTAGAACTGCAGTTTGTCTTGTGTCCATAACTCTATAATCAGGCTTAGCTTTGCATTCACTACAGTGGAGTCCTGACCCTGTTCTGCTGTGTCACAAGGCAACACTACTTATTGTGCCTCGTGTATTATACAGTAGTGGCTCTGTTGCACAAGGTTAATAAGGACCTGTTCCTGCAGTCGTAGCCGTATGGCTGGAGCCTTCAGCCCAGGCAGAGCCCTGTTAAAACTAATGGGGTTTGCGTGGACACATTCAGATGTGGTTGCAGGATTGGTGTCCTAGGAAATATTTCTAGTATTCAAAGAATTTTCTGTAGAAAGTATAAGGACATGTAAGGGAATATTGTAGATATTGAGATAACTTAGTTAAATGACCAAGTTTTTAAGGGATGCCACAGCATAAGCACAGATCATATAATTATTATTATAAAGTTGGTTTTATTTTAAAAGTCTTCAAGCCACCAGTTTCTAGTTTACAAATTAGGCTGATGTTTTTCAGAATTACTTTAAACAAGATAAAGTGAAAACCTGAGTGCTGTTATTATCTATACTTCTGCTTAGTCTTCTGTGGTCTAAACAAATGATTTCATATGTACAAATTGGGCTAAATTTCTTTGGGGAGATAACATTTGAATTTTTTAATTAAAAAAACCACATTTGTTAATTCAGTCTAGCTGCTGTTCAACATCCACTTTCTTTAGTTTTAGAAAATGTTTCTTGGGGAAAAGGCTGTAATCAGTTGTCTGCCCCTCTCCTCCCAAGGATGATTTAAGAAAGGATCTCGGTGAGGAAGTAGTCTTAGTGCTTGTCTACAATTACAGCACCTTAGCACAGAGGTAGGCAACCTATGGCACGCACGCCAAAAGCGGCACGCAAGCTGATTTTCAGTGGCACTCACACTGCCCGGGTCCTCGCCACCGGTCCGGGGGGCTCTGCATTTTAAATTAATTTTAAATGAAGTTTCTTAAACATTTTAAAAACCTTATTTACTTTAAATACAACAATAGTTTAGTTCTATATTATAGACTTCTAGAAAGAGACCTAAAAACGTTAAAATGTATTACTGGCACACGAAACCTTAAATTAGAGTGAATAAATGAAGACTCGGCACACCACTTCTGAAAGGTTGCCGACCCCTGCCTTAGCACTTAGTGAAGATGCTACCTACAGGAGAGCTTCTCCCATAGGTATAGGCACTCTACCTCCCCGAGAGGCGTTAGCTATGTCCACAGGAGATGCCCTCCCATCGACATAGGTTTAGGAAATACCTTCAATACTGTAAATGCAGAGGTTAGTAAACTGAAATTCTTATTTAATTATCACAGGAAATTGGCAAATTGAAGTCCCACCACTGTATATGTATTTGGTTTTCATTAGTTAATTTTTGTGCTATTCAGAAGATTTAAAAAAAAATTACTTTTACATGTAATTCTAAAATGTTTTTTCTTCTTCTTTGGTTGGATTCAAAGGACTGTGAGCTCCCTCTGCTGGCCCAATATCAATTTACTAAAACCTGTCTCAGTGCTACAATATGCTAGCAACAGTGATGCTAATGGAAGCATCAGGAATTAAATATAAATTAGCAAAGGCCAAAATCTGAAGGAAAAATCCTTCTATTTTATTTGAGAAAACTACAAATAGAGAATGAAAATAGATTGCTGTTTAAAAACAAAGCATCTGATTCTTCTCTCACAGTGATGTACAGTGCAGCTGCTCTTAATTTACACAGGTCTGAGAGAAGAAACAGGCCACAAAAAACGAGTGAGATCCTGACCCCACTGAAATCAATGGGAAAACTCCCTTTGACTTTAATGGGGCCAGGATTTCACCCAATGCCTTTATCATACCTCAGGGTTTTTAAAATCACTGGTACTGTGTAATTATCACTGTCTTCTGTATGATGGTTAATGATGTTAGTTTTGTTACAGGATTTGGTCCTTGAAAAGTTAAAGAGCCAACAGTTGTCTAGTGAAATGGACAAACTGAGCCAAGAGCTGGAGAAGATTGGATTGAACAAAGAGCTGCTGCTACAGGATGATAATGGCAATGACAAGTGAGGAAACTGAGCTCCTTTAACAGTGTAACTCCATAACTCCTTAAACCCTGCTAACCACAGCCTTTTGCTTTTTTCATTTTCACATTTTGTGCCCCTCCCACTTCCACCCACTCGCATTGAAATCATGGTTTCATGTCCTAGACAAGAGAGACTACATGAAACCATTTGTCTTAGATTTTGTTTTCTAACAATAGCAAAGCCACGGTAACAAGTCTTAATGGAAATCATGCAGGCAGGCGACCACAGATGGGTGTTCTGTATCTACTTGAAGGAGAAGTGAATTCCAGTTCAATGTGCTGTACTGGTGACATTAACTTTGTAAAATCATTACATAGCTTCCTACTGCAGTACATTTGGATTACAGCTGTTTTGTGTCCCCCTATAAATTTAGCAGGTAGAGAGTAGGATTCTGACCTCTTTTACAGTGAGTTATACCAGGAGTAACTCCAATGAAGTCAAAGGAGTTTATACCCGTGTAGAAATTAGTGTGGATTCAGAATCAAGGCTTGCATGTACATATCCACTTACCAGTTTTCTATTCACTTATCTTCATGAAACCTACTTCTGGAAACCCTTCTGGTGATTAGTGTCCTAAGTTTTGCCTTCACTTGAGAAGGGAGGTGGTTTTTAGATTTAAGATGGGCAACCATTTTTGCCACCTGCTAACTGAATTTATAGTTGAACTCTGCTGGCAAGGTAAAAGATGTTGTATTTGACCATTATCCTTTATATGGTGCATTCCATGCCTCTAACATTTAAGTGGTGATCCACCAGATGTGAAAATAAATACAAGGTGTAAAGGTGTGGCACGGAACATCCCTGATGGGCAAGTTCTATAGAATTTAACAAAAAAGATCTTCTTTCTATAGGCTTTTTGAACTGTCCTATAGAATTTAATGGATAATTATATCCTTAATGCAGAATTTTGTAGGGTTGGGTTTCCCCCGAAGCTAAAGAAATCCACAGCAGGGATATAATTTTCTATTAAATTCTACAGTGTGGTTAGGAAGAAAATTAGAAAAGTTATTCTATATTGAATTCTGTAGTTTTTGTTTCTTCTATAGAACTGAATTGGTTTTATCCCATTAAAATCTGTTGAACTTTCCCATAAGCAATTTTTTTCCTCCTTAGTTATCTTTCAATTTACTTTTGTCCAAATGCAAAAATATAGAGTAGTGATGGAAACCAGGTGTATATAAGAGCAAATACATGTAATTATGAGATATATGATGTGGGAGAGAAATGTCTGCAAGCCAGATGGGTGCATGTTTTCCAGTGACAAATGTTGGAATGTTGTTCTCATTGTCTTTCAGCAAATATAAGATTCTGGAAAGCAAAACTGACTCTGCATTAAAGACAACACTAGCTATTAAAGAAGAAAAGATTGTATTGTTAGAGGCTCAAGTGGAAGAGTCTCTTAGCTTGAATCAGCAGTTGCAGAATGAGCTTAATACGGTAAGAGGAAACTCCATTTTAAGGTGTAAGGTTTAGCTATTCTATAGGTTGGCATGGTACATGCATTTTTACTCCAGAGAAACAGATAGCAAAAAACAAAAACCCTATTTGACTTAAATGCCTTCTTCTATCATATCCTAGCCAATAATAATAATAATTAATAATAATACCGGCATTATTGGTTTTTTTGGAGTCCAGGATGAGATTTTCAAAAGTGCTCAGGTTTGGCTTAGTCCTGTTTCCTTTAGAAGTCATGGAGTTTTACCACCATCTGCTGTCTCTTGTCTTATGTTTAGATTGTAAGCTCTTAGGGGCAGGCACCACCTTTTTGTTCTGTTTGTTCAGCACGTAGCTCAGTGGGTTCCTGGTCATGACTAGGGCTCTTAGGTGCTACAGTAATACAAGTAAAAATAATAATCTTCAATGAGAGCAGAGTTCTGCCAATGTTGAATGCTTTTAAAAATCCCCACACCAGATATCACCTTTATATTATTATTATTTATTAGGAGGCAGGGAGTTCAAGTGGAGAGGGCACCTGACTGGGAGTGAGGGATGTGCATTCTTTTCCTGATTTATAATTTCACCTCTGTGTCTCACTTTCCCTATCCATAAAATGTGAATAATGATACTCCCCCCCCCCATCTTTATAAAGTATCTTGAAATCGTGAGAAAAAATTCTGCATAAGACCTAATTATTATTATTAATGTTTTATTTATTTGAGTGTGCTGCAATTACTTTCCAAAAAGCCAGTTTTACAAGCATATTTCTTGTCTACTTCACAGATAAAGAAGGACTTTGAAGTTCTTAAGCAAAGTCAAGAAGATGGGCAATGTGTGCAAAACTCATTAAAATCTCCTGCAGAAAAACTTATTTCCAACCACCAGATGAAAGAGAAATGGGAAACGGGACACCGAGAAACAACAATGGAGCTGTTGAAAGTGAAAGACAGGGCTATAGAGCTGGAAAGGAATGTAAGTCTTCTCCTTCAGAATGCGGGTATAAGGCATTTGGGGATGTTTGTGTCATTCTTTAAAGTAGGAAGCAACCCCGAGCTCTGTGTATTCAGAGAGGATCAATGGTACAATGGTCAGAGTGCTAGCCTGGGACTCAGGGGTTTGATTCCCTGCTCCACCACAGGCTTCTGGGGGACCTTTGGGAAGTCCGTGCTTCAGTTCCCCATCTGTGAAATGGGGCTGATAGCCTCACAGGGGTGTTATGAGGATAAATACATTAAAGATTGTCAGGAGCTCAGATACTATGGTAATGGATCATACAAGTACTACAGTTTGGAATAATTTTATCATTGCAGGGGAAATTTACCCATGTGCAGAGAACCAACACCAGGCCTATGCACCACTTAAGCCCTCACCTTAGGGGCTATGTGGGACTTGCATGACACATGGGTCTTGTGCTGTCCTCTGTCTAGGGGTGAATCTTGCACCATAACATCTATTCGACCTTTGATTTAATGCTGTGAAGTATTTGCTACTAAAACTTCATGGCTTAAGGGGTATCAGAAGTTTTTTCTCACCTTTGATAGGGCTCTAAATAATCAGAACAGCTGTTTAATTTTTTTCTCCCCCAACACTTCCATTCTATTTCTCTGTTAGAATGCAGCCCTCCATGCTGAGAAGCAGCTGCTTAAAGAACAGCTGAAGCATTTGGAAATGCAGAATGTCTCTTTCAACAATCAGATCCTGACACTACAGAAGCAAAATGTCTTCCTTCAAGAGCACAACACTGCTCTGCAGACCCAAACAGCCAAGCTCCAGGTCAGAAGAACCAAATGCCAATGTCTCAGGAAACTTTGGATTTGATTTTAGTTGTGTAGAGAGGATGGAAGCTGAGAAGGAAGATTTCAGTGGTGACAATAATCAGATGGTGCTGAAGCAAGAGAATTCAGATTCAGATCTGAATTTCCTTCAAATTAAAAAGGGTTTGGATCCAAAATTTCAGCCGTGGCTCATCACTATTAAGAAATTGCTATTTATAGTACTTGGGAAGAAGTAATTACCGTATATACTCGTTCATAAGCGGAATATTTTTGGTAAAAAAATGAGGCATCAAAGAGCAGGGGTCAGCTTATAAACGGGTCTACACCAAAATTTGATGATTTTAAACTCTATGGAATCATTGAATTAAATATCTAATACAGGGATTGGCAACCTTTGGCACGCGGCCCGCCAGGGTAAGCAACCTGGTGGGCCGGGCCGGTTTGTTTACCTGCCGCGTCCGCAGGTTCGGCCGATCACGGCTCCCCCTGGCCGCGGTTCGCCGCTCCAGGCCAATGGGGGCGGCAGGAAGTGGCGGCCAGCACATCCCTCGGCCTGCACCGCTTCCCGCCGCCCCATTGGCCTGAAGCGGCAAACTGCAGCCAGTGGGAGCCGCGATTGGCCGAACCTGCGGATGCGGCAGGTAAACAAACCGGACCGGCCCGCCAGGGTGCTAAAGTTGCCGATCCCTGATCTAATACATTGTAGTTTTGTTTACCTGGAGCATCTGCAGGCTCCTCAGCTCCCTGTGGCTGCGGTTCGCTGTTCCCAGCCAATGGGAACTTCCCACGCCACTTCCCGCAGTTTCCATTGGCTGGGAATGCAAACCGCGGCCACAGGGAGCTGAGGGGCTCCATGCCTGTAGACGCTCCAAGTAAACAAAACGTCCCGACCCGCCAGCAGCTTACCCTGACGGGCCGGGAGCCAAAGTTTTCCAACCCGTGAAATATAGGGCTGGCTTATGAAAGGGTCATACAGTTTTTGCTATTTTTACCTATCCATTTTGGGGGGGGAGGGGTCAGCTTATAAACAAACGGGCTAATGAACGAGTCTATACGGTAGTTATCCAGTTTTGCTATTCCAACTAGCCTATCATATATTCCTTCTTCATGTTAGTTCTTTTTTTCTTTTCCTATTGTGTCCCAGAAAGAACTTTCCCCGGGGAAGTGAGAATGAGGCGGCATATCCAAATCAACATATTTCAGTTTTCAGTCATTTGATTTCTTGATGAAAAATCAGAATTTTCCATGAAAAGCAGAAACTTTTGGAGAACAATTTCATTTAATTGAAAACCCAATTTCCTATCGAAGCAGTTTCAATGGAAACTTTTTTAACTAGCCCTACTCTGCCCTCTACTTCAACTTTACTTTCTTCCACCTTTTCAACATGCACTTTACACCAGTTTAGATTCACTTAGTCCTACTCATAAGCACGTGGTCACCACAAAGCCAATGTACCACGTAAGTACCAAAAGTGATCTTAACTGAGATATAGATTTCATACTGGCCCCCTGCACAGTGGTGAATTTCATCCCCACTTGCATTAGATGAAATTAACAAGCTTCCATTCAGTTGTATACAAACATGGAGCAATTTCAGTTCTTGTACACTCTTGTCAGAGTTATACATGGGACCCAAATGTTCCAGGTTACTTACCTTTCACAAATCTAGTCTTAATATTGCTGTACCAGCTTTGAGATTGTCTTGCTACAGGACAAACATTGATCTCACATATGCCATGACTTCATATCCTGTACATTACCAGTAATACTAAAAGGTTGCTCAAGTTTCCTTTCCAAATTTCTTCATATTGCCAATAACTGTATAAGCATCTTTTGTGTATGTTTACCCATGTCTGAGTGTATACTGCATAGCATGTCTGTGGTGTGTACCAGCATTTGTATATAAATATAATTACTTTTTATTTGAGAAACTTTAGGTAGAAAATTCAACCCTGAGCTCCCAGAGCACTTCACTGATGGCCCAGAATGCTTTACTCCAAAACCAGCAGACAGCTAAGGAAAATGAGAATGAAAATTTACTGAAACAGAAAGATCAGCTAAAAGCTGAATTCGAGTCACTGCTGCAGGACCACGAACACTTTGCCTCACTGCATGAGCGACAGTCCACAGAATATGAAATGCTAATAAAGCAGCACAGCTGCCTGAAAACATTGCACAAAAATCTGGAACTGGAGCACAAAGCTCTTGGGGAAAGGTATGAATTTTTAAAATACATTACGATGTGCTGAATAGTCACTAATAAGGGAATTACAGTTCAGCAGTACCCAAGGGAATTGCATGGCTAGTGTGTGCTAAGTACTCATGTTGCAGATTTCTATTTTCCTTTTTGTTCTCTGAGAGTAGACATAACTAGCATTTCATTAGAGTAATTCATTGCTTCTGGAAGCCTTCCTTCCTATTCTTACTTTCATCAAGGGGTTAAGATTGGAAACATAATTGCCTGCAAAGGAGTAGGTGTTGCAAGAGGGTGAATTTGGGAATTACCAAGCACGTGCCTTTCAATGAAATGTAGGATCCTAAGTGTCTAAGCACTTGTGAAAATGGGACTTAGGATCCTTGATCATTTAGGTACTTCTGAAAATTTTGCCCTTAATGTCTTTAAAATGTAGACCCTTAAAAGATTTCCCTGGTCCTGTTTTGTGGTGGTAGAGTCACAGGGTAAAACCTCTAAATCAGCTAATTAACTAGTAAAGTGAGAATGATGCGTACCTTGAGAACAATATTGTGAAACAATATGAATCACTGAGAATTGTATGGAGGAAAGATCTGGATTATTGTGACAAAAGAGGTTGTTTTAGAGCAGTGGTTTTCAACCTGTGGTCCGCAGACCAATAGGGGTCTGCAGACTAATACCTAATATTTCCAAAGGAATCCACACCTCCATTTGAAATTTTTTAGGGGTCCACATATGAAAATAGGTTGAAAACCACTGTCATAGAGGCTATGTCTGCCCTGCAGTTAAACACCTGTGGCTGGCCCCGTCAGGAGGCCACAGAACTCACACTGTGGGACTGTTTAATTGCAGAGTAGATGTTCAGGCTCGAGCTGGAGCCTGGGCTCTGAGATCCTCCCACCCCGCAGGATCCTAGAGCCTGTACCCCATCTCTAGCCCAAACGTCTACACAGCAATGAAACAGACCCACGACCAGTGAGCCCGAGTCAGCTGGCATGAGCCAGCCGCAGGTTTTTCTTTGCTGTGTAGACATACCCTCAGAGACCCTGTTGGGATAGATATAAATTATGTTCTTTATATTTTTTGTTCTCCTTCTACTTTTCACCATCTGTGCCATTTAGGTGCTTCAGTTTGCACAATGAAATTAGACTGATCTGTTTCACTTTTAGTTGCGAGTCGTTTTCACTTTCTGGTGATCGTGTATTGGTCTAATACTCGAGAATGTGTTTTTCCCACTCGCTGCTCTAAAGGAAAAAAAAGGAAATTTTAATTTTAATGTTTTGATTATTTTTCCCAACAACATATCTGTATTTTTATATAAAAGCTAAACTTGAGGCTCAGATTAAGTTGACAGTGTCCTAGGAAGTGGATTAATAGAAACTTTTCTTTCCTAAACTTGAAGGATCTGGCCATACAATGTGCAGCAGGATTTGATAGGGTATGTGCTGGGATGAAAATATGCATTAGAGCTGTATGACACGACAGCTCCCTGACTCAGCTAAACGAGCTATAAGTGATTACACAGGCACCATCCCTGCTTGCTGTGTCTTTCACAGACTGATTAATGGTTCCCACTGATGTGAGCCTTGCCTTAGCTCATCACACTGCCGTGTGCAAAGACAATTTGCTGACTTCCTTGTTTTCTTGATGAGTATCAATAATTAAATGGTTCCAGCCTGAGGAGTCAGTGGTTTGCTGAAAAATACGTTGTTGTCACTGATAAGTGCTCTGATCATCGTTGCCTATGCCGGTGATAACGTTTCAAACTCTCTTGCCCCAACTATTGCTGGGATATAACTACCAGTGAAAAATGCTGGCGTGGAAACAGATGGTCACTTTTTGTGTACTCAGAACAGACTGATTTAGGCAGTTTTAAGAGTAGGATGCGCTTCTCCATAATCTCATCTCATCTCAGGTCAAGTTGGGAAGATATTAGTCAAGGTGATTTGTGTAAGGCCAGCCTGTATCTTTGTTCAGCTGTCAGAAAAAAATATGCATGTCATTTTTTTTTTAATCTGTGTGCAACATGGGGCACAACTGGCTGAGAGCAGTCCGGGGAGGAAGTTAGCAAAATAGCAGGCAGCAAAGTCATCTGTTTTCTTCTGCTACTCAGGAGGTATTTAACTGATGACAGGAAATTTCTCACTTTCACCTTCAACTAGGATGCACCACCCAGGAAGTGCACACAAAATTTGTAAGTGCTCCTCAGCATGTCCAGTAGGCATGAAGTAACTGTCTACTCTAGAACGTGTCTGGACAAGGTTTCTTTGTTCCAGGCAATAGTTTTTTTTTTTTTCTCAAATGATGATCATGAATATAGATCCTAGTCCCACCACATAGGTTGTATCTAAGTTCAGTGAAATAGTCTGCCAAAGCCTAGCCATACACAGAAGCTGTGGGTTTGACTTGGCAGGGAAAAGAGTAGTTGACATGTTACAGGGCGTCTATTTAAAAACAACATTTTCTTTATGCTGTCGTGTGTTTGGCTGGCTTGTGCTGAGAGGAACTGGATCCATCTTCTGCATTTTTTGAGTACTTTGGATACTACTTATGACTAAGGAATCATAATAACTAGCCACCACTGCTAGAGATTACACAGTTCTGTATGGCTTGCTGTGTAGAAACCTGTAATCCATCACAGATATTGAAATAACTCTTCCCACTGGAGAAAATAGGTCCTGCCAGGCAGGGTTACATGCTGCAGGGACTTTCATTATTAACTTACCAAGGCTGGTTGGTAATCCTGCTTGTGGGCTGCTTCTACATATGTTTCTCATCATGGCTGTGCATTTTAAAAATGTTCTCAGTCACAAATATCCACTCATAGTATCGGTACAAACACAGCAGCAGCAAGTGGAAGCCAAGTAATATTGTCAGAAGGAGTGTAGAGGAATATGGCCATTCAAGTCCTTGATCAGTGTGGGCTGAATCAGTACTGGGATGCACTTGGTCTGTGCCTAGAGTGAAATCTTCCCACCACTGGACTGGCACCAGTGCTACACCAATGGTGGGGATACTAGTGAAGACTGGCCATTGACTGATTTATCTGTAGATTGTCTAACCCTGCTCAGAGTTGGACACCTGGTGTAAAGCTGCTGGTAGCAAATCTATACTAGTGCCAGTCAAGCTGCAGAAACACGAGGGCAGTGATAAGAGTTTCTGAAAGGCTCCATACAGACAAGGCCTTGATGACCTCTGTCAGGATATTGACGTAGAGCTGGTTTGGTCAAACTCTGGGATTGACATGGGCTGTCTTTCGAAAATAATTCTTGAAGACGGACATAAAAGTCTCAACTAGAGCCAAGATGCAAAGGCAAAGGATGAGGTATAAAGAAAGGGGATTGTAAAAAAAAAAAAAAAAAAAAAAAAAAAAAAAATTTAAATCCATAAATGTTTTCACAGAAGAGAAAATAATTATAGAATCATAGGGTTAGAAGAGACCGCAATGGTCATCTAATCTAACCCCTAATACCTCCGGTTTACATGAGAAACTATCCCCCACATTCAGGATCTTCCATTCATCATGTGGATGCTGAATGCTCAGTATTTAAAATGTCCTGCAGCTGAATGAGAGAAATAAACAAGGTTAATTCAACTCCATCACTGCCCCTGGTGATGAATAGTAAAGAGCAGCCTTTTGTCTGGTAGACAGGTACTCCTCTGTGAGGCGGCTCCCTGGGCTGGAATTTGGAACGGGCTGTAATGTGACCCGAGGGAGAGGGATGGTATTCTGAAAGAGAAATAACTTGGCAAGAGTCAATACATTTGGTGCTGCTCTCTTTTGTTTTGTTTTTACTGTTTACTGTGGCTGCAAAGCAACTATCCTTGGTCTGCTTTCGCCTCTCTTGAAATGAGAATTGCCAATGCCTGGTTGGATGAATGCAGTAGAAGTCTATTTGTTCACTGTACCTTTTTAATGTACTTCTCTATCCTCTGTTTGGCTGCTGTTTTTGACACTTCTTATAACAGAGTTCTTCCATGAATCACAACAGATATACCTGCCCCAGCAAGAGCATGCTATGGGGGTGAAAATCTGCTGTCCCACCTCCAGCAATGGTTGCACACCATTGTCACACAAAGCTGTGCTAAGTCAAGACACTGGTCATTTCTACTTCACTGAGCCAGATTCCTGTATAGTCTACCCCAGTTTATGCAAACATAAACCTTGACAGAGGACCCCAGCTGCAGAAAATCCACCTAAGAACAACTTACTACAGTGCAAAGTGGCCATAACCTGCCTTATGTCAGAGTGGCAGTAAGGGACTAAGTGTGTTATCTGAGAAATGGGCAGCCATGGCTTGGAAGGGGCACTCAACCCCCTCATCCATGCCTGTCTCCTTTAGACATTAGGTAAATTGTTCCACAGTGCCAGCAGGGTCAGGAGAGATGTCACTATAAAGCTAGGTATCCTCAGCACAGAGAAGACACCACTGTGCCTTCTCACTCCCTTCCTCACGCCCTTGATGGCTCCATAGGCAAACTGAACAAATCAGGAGGTGAAATAGAATGCTGCAGAGTGGAGGTCTCAGGGCAAATAAACCCCTGTGCTACCCTCTGGGATTTCTCATTAGCAAACAAGCAGAACCATTTGAGCAACCACTACAAAAGGCTACAACACTTCAACAACACTCCATTGGCACTCATGTGTCATGATCACATTGTCTGCCTCCTATATATAATATTTGAGGGTTGATATAAGTAGTTGATTTCACTCCTTTCTTGTTTTTGGCTGCCTCTTTATGCTCTGCACAGATGCTTTGGGACCTGCCCCTGGTAATTGATTCTGAATGGTGTGTTGGAGTAAATGGTGCAGCACTGTCTGGGAACCCTCCCTTTAGGTTTCCTTCACCCCAGAGAAATCCTTGCTTTGTACCAGTTGATCAGGATGTACAGTGATCACAGTTACAACTTGCATTTCAGTTCAGTCAAAAATATAATTGTGCAGCCTCCCTGTAGGATTATACACTAGCCTGAATTCACTCACTTACTATAGATTTCTTTTGAACTCAACTAAAAATATATATATATTGAAGAAGTCTTGTTTTCGGATAGATGCATTTTTATCTACTGAGAAATCTTGTGCTAAAGGAATAAAATTTTGTAGGCAAAGCCCAGAAGATGATTATTCGTCTCTTGTAGGTTCAACAGTTTAGTAAAACACAAGGCAGAACTGGAAGAATTGGAAATTGTTCTAAAAACCGAGAGAGAGGTTCTGCAGCAAGAAAGGAGAACAAATGCAATAGCCACTGGAGAAAATCAAAAGATGAGAGAAGAACTGGACAGGTATGGCTGCTTGGAACTGTGTTTTGCATATATTAGTAAAAATTCAATCCTATGCAATACAGACTTGCTCTAATCCACTGTTGTGCTAACATAAGGTTCCTGGAAGCCTTCATCAGTGTGTCTAGTCATAACAGAATTTCTGTTCCCTAATAGCTCTGTTTTGTTAATCTGCTCATGTTTGCTTAATCGCTGGTAGATAATCAGCTTTCTAATAATTGTAAATGGGTACTGTTAGTCGGTGATTCAGATGTAGTCTGCTGCTGTGACTTGAACTCATTCCAGATAGGCTGGGGCTATGGTTTTTGTTTGCATGTGTATCTGTTTTATAAAGGGTCTACTGACCAAATTCTGTGCTGACTTCTGGCCATTGCAATCTCATGAAAATCCAGGGGATTGCATGGGGCATAAATCAATGTGGAATTTGCCCCATGGTGGGGAACAGGAGGAACATGCCTTCCAATTGTTGAGGAATCACTAGAGGGTGCTTTGTTACAAAAAGTTTGTAGAAGAAATGTTGTATTCAGTGTCAGCTGAAATTGCTACCCAAATACCCAATATTGTCTCCCTTACATTTGTAACTATATTATTTCTGATTTGTTCTCGTGGTCTGGTGCCAGGAGTTAAAGCTCTGATGTTCCTTATTTTAAGTTGTAATAGCCTGTCCAGACTAGAAACACTGTCAAGGCTTAAGTACAAGAACTAAACATGGTTTAAAAGTGGGCTCAGTAGTTTGTATACTCGCTGGGCACATTTTAAACCATGCTGGAACCCACTGAGCAGGTTTAGACAAGACGGTGATAAAAATGTTTCAGGTTGGTAGCACTACAGTTGTGCTACCAGTGAACCTGCACCATTCAGGCGGGTTCATGGGGAAATTTTAAGAAGTAGCTTGGTGTAAGCAAGACCTGAGGCTTTATGTCTACATCATAATTTGAACCATGTTTAAAAATCAAACGTTCTTTGAGTTTGCTGAAGATATACCCTTATGCTGTTCTTTCTCATGGAATGTAGGTTATTGCACTACTGCTGTGCAAGCCAGGGTTCTCTGAGCTTGCTCTTTTCAACCACGGGTAATTTTCCTATGTGGACAGGGCTTGGGAACAGTGTCCCAAAATTGCAGAGGGTTGGGGGAGAAGTAGGTTTGTTTGCTTTATTTGTCAACAGAGTCAGAATTCATTCTTTTTTTTTATTTATTTATTTAAAAGGCATCCAGGAATAGTAGATATTTTTAGCATTACTACTGACTTAAAAAAAAAAAAAAAAACAAGTTGTCTAATTTACTGAAGTATTGCAATGTCTATGACATACAGTGCACAATAACACTTACATTTCATGCATCAGGAAAATAAATTCCAATGGATAGTTTTTACCTGTGCCCAGTGGGGCTGTTTTTACATCAGAATGCTTTTAAATGTATTTTTATCGTGGAAACTTGTAACCTATCCTAAATGCTTAAGTACCAAAGAGGGGTAGTAAGCATTATGCTCTGTATTCTTTTCCTTTCAATTCTTTGGTAGAGATGGAACATTTTGTAACACTGTCGGTGCTGTAGCAAACATGTAAGATACGATCAAGTAAAGATATGTTTAAAAATTGGCCTTGACAAATTCAGTTTAGATTTAACAACCGTGGCTCAGTATACTGGTATTGTGACTTTCAGTTGTTGATTATTATTTGTAAGCTTCCTGGTTTCTTCATTTTCAGGGTAAATTTCTTGCATAGCCAGCTAAAGGCAGAGTATGAGGGGCTGCATGCACATACTAAGGAGCTGAAAACCTCATTGAATAATTCTCAGCTGGAGCTGAACCGCTGGCAGGCTCGCTATGATGAACTGAAGGAGCAGCACCAGTCCATGGATATCTCCCTGACCAAGCTTGATAACCACTGTGAGGTGAGCATCTAGCAGCAGGACATTTTCCCAGCCTCTCCAAAGGGGCCATCTCCCTCTATGTTAAAAGGGTGTCTGTGCCCCAGTCCTTTGGAAATTGTTGACCTTGAGCTCTAAGCAACAGAAGAAAATCACCTTCGGTTAAGTTTTCCGTTGAAATGGAAGCTGGACTTCCAGCTCAGCTGCCTCTCATGCCGCGCATTTGCATTATTACTTCCGAGGCAGGCACATCAAAGAGGTGATGCGCTGTCCGTAGGGAAGATTTGGTTACGCAACACTGAGTAGCAGGAAATTTGCACTGTAGATGTTGCTCCTTGGGGAGTATGTGTGATGTGGGCTGAGGCAAGGCAGGAGAAAAAGGCTTTCAGAGGGGGCTAAACCCAGAGGCAGGAATTATTTGGAAGGTGAAGAATCCTCTGACCTCCTGAACCAGCCACCCCTCTACCACCTTCCTGTGCTGCTTGCCCTTGCAGTTGAGGACCCCGGCTTGAGGACTAGTGTTTTGTCCTTAACCCGATGACAATATTGAATTCTTCCACATGATTGAAACAGTGACAGCCAGCATGAAGGAACTGATAAGACCAAGAGTATTTGCCTGTGGTAAAAGTTGTACATGGTTTATTTACCAAAATATGAGGGAGGGGGAGAAATCCAGTTACCCCTTGGCCTTTTTGGCTTTGAATGAGTTCTAAACTACTGGCTAAAGATCCACTTCCGTTGAGTTGAATTTCCTACCACATTTTTTTAGGGCACAGTCCTACAAAGTACTGAACACCCTCAGCTCCCCTTGCTTAAGTGGGAGTTGAGGGTGTCCAGTGATGCTCAGGAGATACTCAGCACACTGCGGTGCTGGACTTTTGGGTAGCAGTAGGGCAATATTAGCAAGACACAGCTGGAGAGAGGGAAGTACAGGATATTGGGAAGCAGGATGATCTTGTAGGTAAGGCACTGAACTGAGATTTGGGACACTGGGTTCAGTTCCTGGCTGTGGTATACAGTCCCTGTGTGACCTTGGCCATGTCACTTAATCTCTGTGCTTCGGTTCCCCATCTATAAAATGGGGATACACCACTCCCCTACTCCAAAGAGGATTTGTGAGGACAAATTACCACAAGAGATGGGCTCAATTCAGGAATCACCGAAGGAAATTCTTTGCCCTATGTTATGCAGGAAGTCAAATTAAGTGATCATAATGGGCCCTTCTGGCCTTAAAAGTCTCTGACTCTGTACCCAGGTAATTCTGTACTCGTACTAGTTTATTATATTGCATTCAGAGTGAAGTCAAGTGCAAAAGGAAAATTCACCTCTTATTCTGTTGACTAGCTGCTTACCCGTCTAAAGGGAAATCTGGAAGAAGAGAACCATCATCTCCTGAGCCAGATCCAGATGCTGAGTCAGCAGAACCAAATGCTACTGGAGCAAAACATGGAGAACAAGGAACAGTATCATGAAGAGCAGAAGCAATACATGTAAGAGACTAGAAATATTGACTTTTGACAATTAGAAGTAATCTGGTAGGCAAGAAAAGAAATGATGAGTGTGGAAAATGGAAAATGTTATATATCAGAAGCAGAAAGACCAAGAGAACTGGTGGGCCCACTGGATTCCCCAGGTAGGTAAAGGACCATTTATGGAGAATAAAGCCATTGTAGAGAAGCTATATCTTTCCATGCCTCCACCACAGAGGATTTTGAGGAGATACCTACCCTAGACCAGGGATAGTCAATAGTTGGGCCGCAGGCCAACTCTGGACAAGCATACGCTTTTGAATGGACTGTGAAATCTTTTTAGTTACATATTATTGTTATTACGGTGTGAAAAATGTTTCTTTGGAGTACGGACCTTGACTATACCTTGTCCGAGAAATTTGGACTTTGACAAAAAATAATTGACTGCCCCTGCCCTAGACCAACTCTTTTCAAGTAATAGAGATGAGGCACTGTGGGATGTTGAGGGGTGAAAACAGGAGGTGCTGAAACCAGATGATTAAAGAGCAGCATCCAAGAGTTCTGAAGGAATTTAAGAACGAAGCGGCTGACCTGCTAACAAACACCTGTAGCCTCTCATTAAAATAAGTACAATACTGGAGCAGGGGCAGATAGCATGTGTTCCAGGCACTAAACATGGGATGCTGCCAATTAAGCAATATTTAAGATCATTTTATTGATTTATATTACCATAAATATTCAACACAATATTCTTTTAAAGGACACAGTCTCTAAGGGTCCAAGTTCTTCATCCACTTTCACAATCTCGTTTTTAAATAGGCTGATTCACTGAAGTATGGCACTGTTTCCTTCTTTTTTACATCTACAGACAATCTAATCTTCACAGGGATATGTGGGCTCTCCCTGTACTACAGTGAGGATGAACAAAATACATTCTTGTTCCTATCTAGGGTAGATCCTTGGATTTACAGACCCAGGAGCTAGGAGCGATCCTGGGAATAACTGATTGAGTTTTACTTCAGTACCATGAAAAACTATTGAAATTGTGTTTGTAAATGAAACACCTGGATGAACATATGACAGACACAAACCAGCCCCGCTTCTGAAAAGAAAAACTGTGCCTGTAGATTTGCTAGCATGTCAATTAAATGGTAGCTAAAAGAACTGGGAGAAATAATTTAGCATTGTAGCATGACTCTCTGGAAACACTGGCGTTGTTCAAAATACAAGGCATTTTGGTTTCCTACTTCCTGTCTTCTCTTTATTGAGACCGTAACTGGTGAGCCTTCTATCTATGACAACTGTATCAAACTGACCTGTCAGTAAGGTTAACGTGTGTTTGCATTTTGTTTTCCCAGATTGTTAGTGAATAAGATCGCTAGGGTTAAATTACTTCTGCTGCTTGAATGCACTGGATAAGAAGGCTTTTTTGATCTGTAAAGATCTAACCTCTAGGATGACCTCTTTCTTCTCCTGGTGATTGTTGGCCTTGCCCTTCCATTTTGTAACCATTGTGAAATCCAAGCAAATCCTTCACGATCTACCTTTTTATTTTTTTATTTTCACAGTGATAAATTAAATACATTAAGGAGACACAAAGAAAAACTGGAAGAGAAGATAATGGATCAGTACAAGTTTTATGATCCTGCTCCAAAAAAGTAAGTTCCCTTCCATTTCAATGCCACTATTGCAATACAGAATTGAGAACAAAAGGGGCTCTTCATAGCCGGAGAGGACCAAAACCCTGTGACTCCCTGTCAGGAGAGGTGACAAAGAGGGCAACTGGTGTGTCTGGTCATCACTACGCTCTCCTCCTCTCACTCCAGAAGCCTCTTGTTTTAATTGGGATTCTCCTTGATGGGAGCCTATTCATTGTCCCCCACAAACTCCATTGGACAGCCACACAAAAGTTAACTGACTCAAGCAGCAATCCTGCTTTAGCATGTGCTAACATAGACCCCTGTGCACATGCGGAGTCCCAGTAACTTCATATCGGGATCTGAGTCAATATAAGCTTCTACAGGGAGTCATTTTGCCCTGAGGAGTACCTTCTTCCTCCAGGAGTGAGCTTCAAGCAGCAGAACCCATCATTGTGAGGGAGCCGGGGGCGGGGACAGAACAGTGCCTCCATTGGTGCTTTAATGCTTTCCTGAATCGGGGCCTGAGTGACTGTTTATTAAGTAAAATCTCAGATTCATCTATTTAAAAGACCAATCCCTAAACCTGCTTCCTGGTAGCAGAGGAGAGAGAGAGAGAGAAATTATCGTATTTTAGTAATGGGAGAGGCAGAGGTATTCCAGTGGTGAGGGCCATATAAGATCCTGGTATCCAAAGGATGCTGAATTGCTGATCAGGTTGGGGTCGTTTAATCTGTTTGTGAAAGCCTCACAATATAATCTGTCAGCTTTTGTTTCAAATCCTGTGCTCGAATTCAAGCTGGTGTATCAGATCTGAGGGGCTGCTAAGCGATGAATGGCCACTAATCTGGGCTGTCAAACCAGTGGGATGGTTTAATCAACAAAGCCACCTCTGTCTGTCTTTGGAACTGCATCTTCCCATTGACACTGAATTGGCATCACAGACAATATGACCAGACAATGATTAAGCAGCAGCACTGCTCCCAGAGCTGCTCTTTCAGTGGGGGAATAAGCAGTCCAAAAAGAGGAATAGGCCTTTAAAAAAAATAATTTAAACAACAAAGCCATGTAAACCCCAACATAAATGTCGGACACGTCCAGTGCACAGGAGAATCCATACTAATGGTTAGAAGCCTTGATTTCACAACTTTTCAGCCTGTTCATGTAGCAAGACCTCCCACCCTATTAAAATGTTTCATGTGGGTCCACACATATGGTTTTGCTTCTAACCATGGGACAGTCCCCTTATTCAGATCACTAGCTCTGGAGAAATATTTCCCTAGACTGATGCTGACCTTGAAGGAGTAGAACCAGCCACTTTCATTTTGTGAAATCATTCCCTGACCATGTGTTTAATGATAAGATCTCCACATCTCACGCTCTGGGGACCCTGCACCATGCCTTAGTTTTCAGCATAATTTAAAAGTGCAGGAGAGGGGAAGCTGTGGCACAGTTCTAGATTTCAAGGAAAAAAATTCAAGTATTTTATGATCTTCCGTTATCAAAATGTGCCTCTAACAGGAAAAACCACTGGATTGGAGCCAGAGCTTTAGTCAAACTGATCAAGCCAAAGAAAGAGGCTACAAAGGAGCGATTGATATCATCCATGGAGAGTCCTCCATGGCACTCTGAATCCACAGAGACAGCATCATCTCCATCTGCTTCTCAGATACTCAAGCATCAGCAGGAAAGTCTGGATAACACCTCTCTGGGGTCAAACTCTATGGAAGAGAAAGGGAGCCACAATGGAGCTTCAAACAAAGGTATATGTCTGGCTTAGAGAGGTAGTTAATGAAATAGAAGTCACACACTAGGCATTTTATTTGCTGGGAAGGCTTAATAGGCATGATTCTTATATAATATATTATGTCACCATGTGTTATACCCTTTTAATATTAAACCAGTATTTATATTTATTAGTTTTCCTTATCTGTGACTTGTTTTTCAGTTTCACATTTTCCCTGCATATGTGCCATGTTAGTTAATAAGATGATGGGCAAAATTAAGTTAGCTTGCAAAACGAAAATAAAGTCCATCTGTGAAACTATGCAATTCACTAGCCTTTTCTGTTGTTAAAGTTATTGGTGTGGTATTGTCTGGCACCAGTAGAGGGCACTCTCAGAAAATAAATGCAAGAAGAGTAAAATAATTTTAATTTCTAATAAATGCCTATTATTTGTGGAGACAATGGAGTGTTTCCATTTGTAGTTGATTTAAGAGTTTCCTAATGCAAAGTTATAATAAGTGATTTCTGTGATGTTGCAAAAATGTGATATAAAAGGTATATAATTTTGTGCATGTATATGTAGTGTAGTGTGGTGTTTTTGTGTGCAGTTGGGAGAATTATTTTGTACAATAATCAGATGTTCTCAATAATGCAGAATTTTAATGGAAACCCCACAAAAGTAATGAATTATTAACTTTGCAAAAAAAAAATCTCCAGCCTTCGGTGCTGCTACTGAGATCGCTCAGATCTGCCTCCCTTTAACTTTTTGTCCTCTAAGAATATTTTTCAAGGAACAACTTTAATGGTCTCAACACCTTACACTCATGGTTTCATGCTGGGTGTGAGGGAAGAACGGAGGGCTCCATTATTACAAATGGCAATTTAGAAAAGTCTTTAATTGTTTTAATTCCTCTCCTCCCTCACCATTCTGCATGGTCTGTGATCAATTTACAATGAAAAGGCATATTTAAAATCATCTGTATCTTAGCACTGTGTAATTCCAGAAAATGTGAAATGCAATCTGTGTGCATCCAAAGCTCCCACTGACCTAAAGGAAAGTTTGAGATGAGCAAGAAATGTAGAGTCAGGCTCATTCAGAGTGCCAGGGACTCCATGAAGTCCTCTAAGGACTTCACTGTTACTACTGATTTTACATGGAAGGTGTTCAGATCCTGCGGTGGTGGACATCTGTATAAAACCCTAAGTAATCAGTGTATGGTACCACTAAGTAATGTATCGATGAACATGAATTATATCAAGTATATATATATATATAAAATATGTTTTAATACATTTTATATCACGGATGACATTATTGGCAATTTTAGGTAGAGGTTGCTCATGTGTACTGTATTAACTAATCATGATTCTGATTTCCTAAACATTATTTAGTGTTAGTTTAGTCTTTTTCATGTTTCACTGGATTGTGTTGTCACTTAGCTGTTTTAAGACATTTTAGTTATATTTCTATTTTTTTGTTCACTATTTTTCTTCTTCTTCTTTTTGGAATACCTGGGTGATAACAATTTAGCTGCTCAACGCAAAAAGATTGCCTTTTTGAGAAGCAAAAGCAAGGACAAAGAAAAGTCTCCTAAGTCTCCATCGAATCATCAGTCTCTCACTAATCGTCTGCGGTTCTGGTCTTCTTCCGACATCCCATCCTCTCCTAATGAAACTCTTTCTTTCTCGGAAATGGGAGATTTCTAACACCTTGTCTTTATTTTCATATATTTCTCCAGTTTAAAACAAAAAAACCCACATGCTTAAATGAACACACACATTGGTACAAACACTCAGCATGTCCTTAAAATAAACTAAATACAAGCACAGATTAGTGAATGTGGACTTAATTTTTTCAGTAGAAGATGAATCATTATTGCACACTATGGATCATTTCTTCAATGCAGTATACTTTTAGGGGACCTCATGACATACAGTATGCGTATGTATACTGGCTGTGGTGCACGTTATAAGTAAGTGAAGTTGCTGTGCGCTTCATTGTCTTCTTGCAATCACAGACTTGCATCATGTCCAGTTGAAATGTGGAAATTGCTTTTGCTATGCTTCCTACAATGTATTATCACTACTAAAATACGAAGCTAATATATAAGCACGCTCAAATCTTGGAGATTTTTCCAGTCCTCTGTGCAGCTAAATTTAAGATGGCCAACTTATTACAATTTCTCTGTGCTTCCAGGCAGTCTAAATCTGGAAATATAGTGGCACTCATTAGCAATGCTACTGTCCAAATGTCTCAACATTTGCAGTCTAAACATCCATTTTTAGAAGTTTTATAAGTTGGGGGGGGGGTAAGATTTGGCTTTTGAGTGTGTTTTTATGTCAAAAAAGGTGATTTGATCTCTTTTAGTTGCCCAAACTCCTTACCATCTAATAGTCATTGCTGTTTGGTGGCTTGTGAAACGAACTCATGGTCACAATCCACTTCCTGTTGGACAGGTGTCCATATCACAGTTGGTGCCCTTGTGGTCATCCTCAGCAGAGAGGCCAAACTCCCCTTTCTCTCCTAGAGGTGATTCCTCCATACCAGAGCTGAGCACACTGGTATAGCAGCATAGAGAAGTTTGCACTGTCACTACCTGTTCTTTGGATTAATAGAGAGCATCAGTCTCCAGGGCTATTAATTCAGCATCTTTGAAAGGCACTAAATTCATTTTTCAAAGGCAATTTGAAATATCGACTTGCATGGCAAATTTTAGCCCATAACAATTTTTATGGCTGTGCTATAAACTTATAAAAAGTGGGAGAGAGTAAAAATGGTGCAGACCCCATGCTGTAGTAGCACACACAGACTACCTCTGCTATAAAAGACATTTGTTTTTCTGAGAGAAACTTTCAGAAACAGCATAACCCAATAGTACCCTAGTCCACCTTCTCTACTACATTTTTGTTGCTGCCCTGTGCCTTTGAACTAACCAGTTTTGTTTTGTCCCTGCCAGCTGTTTATTTTGACCGCCTTGCTCTGCTTTGTTTTCAGTATCTAATTACCATTAATTAACCTCACTTCAGAAAAATTTAGGAAACCAGAATCTTGCTTCTCATCAAGGCTGTTTTCTAAAATGAAGGCTTTACATTTCGCTCTGTTTTATTTGAGCCTTAAAATGTGTATCAGCTGTGTTAATTTTGGGGTTTTAATACATTCCACCTCATCACTGGAAAAAAGCCTTTCTGTCCATCTAGGGGTGTTTAATATTTTAGCAGGCAGTATGTGTTGTTATCCCAAAATGCTGTTTAAGAAATCAGTGCATTGAAGGAGGAGAGTTTAAACCCTCTGGAGAGTCTGAGCTCTTATCACAGCAGAATTCTGTATGGACAGAGATTATATCTTCGCATGAATCCTGTTAGGTGATTTTAAAATCAGGAACCTTTGTTTTGAATATGGCTTTGACTTGTCAGTATATCAAAGCTTTATTCCCTTTTATTACTGAAGCAAGTGCTTATAAAATGTACCTTAAGGCATTTCATATCCCACTTATTTTTTCTGCTTTCATGTCTTTGCTCCCATGTCTATCCTCTTCCTTTCACAATATGTGTTGCATGTATAAAAAACAACCTTCCTACTGACACTAAATGAGCCCTTGTCACTCCTAAGCTCCGTAGTGAGCAGACATATGATTGCAAAACTGGTTACAGAAATCTCTTCCCCAAGAGTGAACTGGTTCTTGAAAAGCTTGCAAAACTAGCGCCTCTGTTGTGCGTTTTTGTGTGTGCCTGCTTGTTGTGTCTATATGAAAGTGGATAGATACATGTTTGATTGTGTTGTCCTCTATTGCCTCATTTATTTACCTCTTTCTCCCCTACTCAGCATTAATGGATCTAAAACAAAACCGAATTTCCCAACGTGGAGGCAGCAATGATAATGTTGAAAATTCAGCAGACTCTGCTACTAAGCACTGCGTGGAGCTGGGTTCCAGAACTTACTCTACCTCAGCCATCCATTTGACCACTTCAAGTTCTACTCCCACTTCCAGGCACCAAAGCAAACCCAAAGGTGTGTTGTGTAAGCTAGTATTTAGTCTATTTACAGCTAGTCCAACTCCCAGTACTTGGAGCCCCCACTTCACTGTAATGTGACCTCCCATCATAACAGATACTGCAAGGTACATAATAGGCCTTCTACAGTTACAGAAGCTCAGCACATGCTATAACTAGAGCCCTGCAAATCCATGGATATCCGCTTCATATCTGTGGATAGCCGAATCCCCGGATGCAGATATCCACGGACCATTTTTGTGGATAGTGGATCGGATGCGGATACAACCGCGCACGGCTCTACTCGCTGGCGGCGCCCGCCCCGCAGTATCCAAATGGGCAGCCCGAGGGGTACAGTGTACTTGGGACCAGCGGCCAGTGGCTAGGATTGGGTGGCAGTCCAGAGTCAGGGCTCTCCAGCACCCACTCGCTGCGCTGCTTCCTGTCCAGCAACTCGGGTCCCTCGGGCAGCGCCGGCGTCCCCACCATGACTCGTCCTGACAGCACTGGCCACGCTCCTGGCCCGCTGGCTCCGGCCACAGGGATTGGAGCAGGCAGGGCCCCAGCGCCTCACCCCTTCGCCCCACTTGATGCAACACGTACTGCTGCTGCCATCACTTGCGAGCCCCCGGGAGCAGCACACAATGCGACGCCCCTTCCCTCCAACCCCCGCACCGTCCCTTCTCCTCAAGACCCCGGCCCTGCACCGCCCCTTACCCCCAGTCCCCGTCCTTGTGCCGCCTCCACCCTGCAAGACCCCACCCCCCGCTCGCTCATCTCCGCTCCCTCCTCCACCCTCCCCATCGCTAGCCCTTGCAAGAAGGCTAGCGGATCGTGGGTTGGCTGCATGTTGATTCTGGTGGATGAGGATTGGATGCGGATCCACATTTTTGTATCCACGCAGGGCTCTAGCTGTAACACAGTGGTCCCTTTGATAAGTTATAGGTAGGGCCCTACCAAATTCACGGCCATGAAAAACGTGTTACAGACCATGAAATCTGGTCTTTTGTATGCTTTTACCCTATACTATACAGATTTCATGGGGGAGACCAGAGTTTCTCAAATTGGGGGTCCTGCCCCAAAAGAGTTGCAGGGGGATCGCAAGGTTATTTTAGGGGGGTCATGGTATTGCCACCCTTACTTCTGGGCTGCCTTCAGAGCTGGACGGCCAGAGAGTGGTGACTGTTGGCCGGGTGCCCAGCTCTGAAGGCAGTGCCCCGCCAGCAGCAGCGCAGAAATAAGGGTGGCAATATCATACCATGCCACCCTTACTTCTGCACTGCTGGTGGTGGCGGTGCTGCCTTCAGAACTGGGGTCCTGGCCAGCAGTCACCACTCTCCAGCTGCCCAGCCTCTGAAGGCAACACCACTGCCAGCTGCAGCACAGAAGTAAGGGTAGCAGTAGTGCCAGGGCCGGCTCCAGGCACCAGCTTACCAAGCAGGTGCTTGGGGTGGCCACTTCGGAGAGGGGCGGCACGTCCAGTTGTTCGGCGGCAATTCGGCGGACGGTCCCTCACTCCTGCTCGGAGCGAAGGACCTCCCGCCGAATTGCCTCCGCAGATCGCGATCGCGGCTTTTTTGTTTCTTTGTTTGGCTGCTTGGGGCGGCCAAAACCCTGGAGCCGGCCCTGAGTAGTGCAACCCCCCAACAATAATCTTACAAACTCCCCCACACACTCCTTTTTTGGTCAGGATCCCTACAGTTACAACACCATGAAATTTCAGATTTAAATAGCTGAAATCATGAAATCCTATGACTGTGAAATTGACCAAAATGGACTGTGAATTTGGTAGGGCCCTAGTTATAGGGCTTCTTTACACTAGCAAAGCTATCGTGTGGGAGGTCGCATTACAATGCACTAGTCTTTCCCTCCAACTCAACTTGACTGTGGGCCCATTGATTCAAAATGGTGGCCAAAGAGATGGATACTTCTCCCATGTAACCTTTATAAAGTCACTCAACAGGCTCTTCCACTTATACTGTAATGGCCTGTTCGAGGCAAATCTGTGGGATTGACCTTCCTAAACTTAATGTTACCTACTACATTTTATATTCTTTCCAGGATATAATTCAGAGGATAATCTTTGTGACCAATCCCCTGAGGTAGAGTTTTCAAGAAACAGACAACATGGTAAGTTTATGGAATGTAAGATTACACTAACTCCCTATATTGGGGCCTGCTTCATAATGTCTAAACAAACCCTCATAGGCCATTATAGTTAAACTTGGATTATAAAATTATCTGAAATTATTTATTATTAATTTCTTCGGGGTTTTGGATCCAAATGTTTTATTTTTATCTTAAGATTTTTTTTAAAAAATTCATTATTTCCCAATGAAACTTAAAAAAAGAAGAAGAAATTCCTAATCAAGACAAACTGACCTGCCTCAGCAGCAGCATGTTCAGTGCATGCAATACAGGTGCATGCACTGATTTTTAAGATCAATATTTGCATATAACAGGGAGGGAAGGAATCAGCCGTAGTAGATTTCTTCGGGGGTGGAAGCAGCAGCACTGGGTAATAAGTGCCTTCCTGGAGGAGTTTGAATTTGCAAGCTGGTTAACAGCACTAAAAATTCACTAGCTCACCTCTAAAACTTGAACTTGAAAATAGAGGAGAAGGAAGAGAAAACTTAACGTTTTAAATAAAAATGCATGTTTCATAGTTGGACCAATAAAAACTACCTTAGTATATCAAACATAACATCACATTAGCCCTTTTCATCATTAAAATTTCTCTTTGTGGCAAACCTAATTACTGTAGAAGCAAACTGAAGAATACATTTCTCTGCACAAAATGATAGTAAGAAAATGAGATGTTCTTAAACACCTGACAAAGGAAGAACAGGGTTGATTTGTGTTTCTCACTTGATGTACATCACATTATGGTAAAATTTTCAAAAGTGCCAGTCATATTTTCAAAAGTCACTTCGGCATTTAGCATCCTAAGTCTCACTGAAAGTCAATGGAACTTAGGCTCTTAAGTCACATAGGCATTTTTGAAAATGTTACGTTTTGTCCAGACCTTATGTGCTCATGAACTTAATATTCCTCTTTCTTTACAGTTTCCAAGCCAAATAGTTTAGAGAGCAGTCGAAATGCATCTAGCAGTAGTTCACCTCTCAACTTGAAAGGTAAGATATTTTCAGAGCTGAGATGCCTTCTGACGAATAGGAAATGAAATTGAATTGCATGCAAAGCATTTTCTTTTCTTTCCAGTTGGGCTAGAACAAATAACATGGTTTTGTTACCTGAGCAGGGGCCTGGCTACCACAGAGACTTGAAACAATGTTAGCAAGAATGACTTTTTTAAAGCATGATCATGACTAACGGGGCATGAATTCTAGGACAGAGATAGAGACCGATTTTTCTGCCATATCAAAGGCATCACTTTGGGGTATTCTGATGGATGAAAGTCCAGATTTAAACTCTGTCTGTATATACAAGCAGTTCTCCAGCATTCTCACTCTGTGCACAACTTCGTAAGATAAACATGCTTTTTGGGCCCCACACTACAAGAAGGATGTGGAAAAATTGGAAAGAGTCCAGTGGAGGGTAACAAAAATGATTAGGGGGCTGGAGCACATGACTTATGAGGAGAGGCTGAGGGAACTGGGATTATTTAGTCTGCAGAAGAGAAGAATGAGGGGGGATTTGATAGCTGCTTTCAACTACCTGAAAGGGGGTTCCAAAGAGGATGGATCTAAACTGTTCTCAGTGGTACCAGATGACAGAACAAGGAGTAATGGTCTCAAGTTGCAGTGGAGGAGGTTTAGGCTGGATATTAGGAAAAACTTTTTCACTAGGAGGGTGGTGAAGCACTGGAATGGGTTACCTGGGGAGGTGGTGGAATCTCCTTCCTTAATGGTTTTTAAGGTCAGGCTTGACAAAGCCCTGGCTGGGATGAATTAGTTGGGGATCGGTCCTGCTTTGAGCAGGGGGTTGGACTAGATGACCTACTGAGGTCCTTTTCAACCCTGATATTCTATGATTCTATGCTCTCTAGATTGCTAGAGTTCTGTCTATTAACAAGGATTAACATATTAGGCTAAACGTGGTGAAACCACTTTGTGCTGCCTCACTGGCAAATTGTGGCTCTCAAGTTGGCACAATGCCAGGGCTAGGAGGCTCTTTTAGTGCCACAGAGCTGACACAGAGGCTCAACTGTTATCCCTGCTGCTAGCAAAGAGTGTGGCCATAGGAAGGGATGTGGCCAGGACACTACCACACTGTACCAACCCCCTGGCGGCTGTTTCAGCTCCTTAGGACCATTAGCAACCAGCGTAATTTAGAGGAGCATCAAGGCTGCTGTACTTTGTACTTGAGGACTGGCCCTGCACACACCAGCCCCGAGATCAAGGTAGTGCAAAGCTGACTTTTATTGTGTGCTCTTCTGTTTATGGCTCAGAATCTGGCTCATGAAGTAGAACTTCTTACTACTGTTCTGGGGGCAAGTACCTCGGCTCATTTAACTGGATTCCTTTTTGAAGCTCTGGAATATGTACTGTTCCTGGTATTCTGAAGCTCTGATTTCATATGGTTTTGGGGAGGAAGAAATAATGATTGTAAAGTCCAATTTTAGTTGACATATTCAGCATGGAAAAGGAACTGAATCATACATACCTACCTCAGTAGGGAGTTGACATTCTTCTAAAATAGAGGAAAATAAGTGTTTTTAATGTTGCTTTTTCCCCTCCTCAGGTTCTTCAGATCGTATCTACGGCAGAGCTGAGAGCCTCAGCAGTGAAGATATGGTGCCAAGTAGAGAGACACCTGCCTTGCCCAGAGACAGCTACATCTGTCATTCCACTTCTGCCATCTTAAGCTCTAACAACAGACAAGACCCCTCCCTTCACAGGAATGGCTCGATTTCTTATGACATACCTCAGAGGAGTAACCCAAGCCAATCCTATGCTGGCAGGCAGCGATCTGCTTCTCCTGGCAGTGACATGGTGACTTTGGAAGAGTTTCTGGAAGAGACCAACAAGTTATCCCCATCGAGTGTATGTAAAATAAAACTATAGCTATCTCAGGTGACATGAAAATATTCCAAGCTGATCTGACAGGGAAGTGACAAATAAGAAATAGGAGCATAGAGAATAGAATATCAGGGTTGGAAGGGACCTCAGGAGGTCATCTAGTCTAACCCCCTGCTCAAAGCAGGACCAATCCCCAATACAGTGAAATACAGTGCGATCCTCACTAATGACTGTGAGACTCATTACAGTGGAAAGGTGGGTAAGGTAATATCTTTTGTTGGACCAACTTCTGGGTGAGAGAAGCCTTCGAGCTACACAAAACTCATTGTGAGCTATGAATTTTGCAAATCAGTATTTAAGCGAACAACCCCCACAAAAAACCTCAGGATAATACATCACAAATATCCTGTTAGTTTATTTTTATATTTGTAGCTAGAGCTAGTGAAATAATTCATTGTAAGTGATATTTGTTGGAATATTGGTATTTTTTTCATCCAGTAATTCTTTGTGATTAAACTTTCCCATTATTCCACCAGCTCTAAGTTTAGGTGAGTTTTAATTATTTGTGAACTAGTAACTGTACTGTGCAGTATTCTGCAGAATTAAATTTTAATCATCCAAGCCTTTGATACAGTTCTCGGCTGCTAAATCTCTGCCGAAAACTAAAGCTTGACGACCATCATTAATTGAATTATAAAGTGTGCATCTTAAAGAAGGTCTGCTCTATTTAAAAAATCTTATGATCCAGTTTTTTCAGGAGGATTTTATTAAGGATTTGAGGGAGGGAAGTCTCTGTTCCCCTGGATTGTGTTATCTGTTTCTATGAACCATGTGGTACTGTTGTGCTGTTGGTGAAATCAATGCTGCAATATTTCACTGTGCAGTTAAAGATGTTTTGTAGGAAATAATATGCATTTGTTTGTAAATGTCTTGTATCGCTTAGTGATGATGCATACCAGTCACGTGAAATGTCGCAGTACAAAACATGTTGATGTCTTCAGACCAAATTCACTGCTGGCATAAGTGAGTGAAAGTTAATGGTACATCAACAGCCCAGTAGCATTACTGATGTCATTGGAGTCCCACCTTCTTATGACATCAGCGAATTTTGGTCCTCAATGTTTCAGACAAACCTTTTAAAATGTATCGTAGTCCCTTGTTCTGAGTCCCTAGGGGTAAATTAGTTGAATGCAAAACACTTGTTGTCTGTAACCATGTGATCATGTCTCCATTTTCATTCTTTCTGTCATCCTTGTTCCTTTTCAGCGGCGACACAGCTTAAATGAGACCGAAATTATCTCATTGCACCAATTTCTGTTAGAGGCTGATGCACTGTATCCCTCTTGCCATTTCCCATCTCATTCCCTCCATCAGGAACCTTCGCGTTCAGTCGAACCAGTCCTCAGTCATTCGTGTCGTGACAGTCTGAGGCACAGAACTGGCAGGGGGAATAGGAGAGCAACTTCGCTGTATATCCCCAGGGTATCCATCGCTATCACTCTGCAGTTAACAGCTCACCCCTCACTCCAGCCTGCAAGCACATTAATGCCTATGGAAGCTTGTTTTAATGTTTCATCGCTACTTTAGTTTAAAAACTAAAGTAGCCAAATTACTCATATTAATGATCCCTAAAGTATTTCTAGTGTTGCGCATGAGCCCCTGTTTGTTGGGAGGATTGTAATAGCACAATATGGTGGCCCTCTAATTTTAACATGCACTACAGAGATTTAGACTAACATAAAAAAATAACCCAGGCTCTTAGCATTTGATTGAACCTGGAATGCTTCTGACACAGTAAGGAATTATCATGAGCTGCCGTTTTATAACTATTACTATTTACTATGAGCAAAATGGGTTTTGCTACTGGATGTAACCTTCTCTGTAAACTCTAGTGAAATGAAAAGATATATTAAACCATGACATACTTCCCCAGAGAAGAGCAAAGAAATGAAGTACAGACGCTCCCCGACTTACGCAAGCATTCCGTTCCGGAACGCCTTGCGTAACTCGAATTTTGCCTAAGTCGGAAACGTATCTCTGACCATTATGCAAAAAGCCCTCCTATCTCTAGCTTACGGAACTTTTTCCGTAAGTGCGGATTTCCGTAAGTCGGGTCTTGCATAACCCGGGGAGCGTCTGTACATCAGGTTGTTTCAGCACATTCTTTTTATAACTAACACGTCCATTAACTATTCACAGCATGCCTTGTACTAATATCTCAACAGCAGTTGATAGTGTCATCCGTATGTTTTGCATGAGTCCATCTCCATTAAGCATTTATTGTATATTTTCTTTTGCGGCCAGGTTAATTATTTGCCTTCAGAATATTGCAGATTAATTTCTGGATGATCAATCATTCATCTATTGTACATACAGCATTTAACACACGCAGTATGTTGGTCTTGGTCCAAAAAAACCCAAGCCCAATGAAATTGCCCTATAGTAGGCTGCTAGCACATCTCCACTTAGAGTAATCTCCTGTTGTTTCACTAATATTGGAACAAGGTGTTGTTCAGAACAGCCTGCGTTCTAGGAACGACAAACACTCTATCACTGATGTGCACTAAATTGGCCGATACTAAATGAAGCAAAAGAGCTGCAGCCCAGGGTGCTATCAAGATGAATTTCTTTAACTGGTGACAATTAAACTGGCAAATAAGGCTGTCACAATCTAATTTTGATCATCATGTAACTCATTGATATACATTTAGATACTCTTTTCCCCCAGTGCTCTCCGCTATAGGCATGAAATAAGTGGTTTTATATAAGATGTTGAGGGTCCCTCAAAAGTTGACACTGACACACCAATTAGTGCGTAAAGCACTTTGAAGGTGAGGCATGTTGTACATAGTGCCAAGTGCTCTCTGTCATTACAGTTACTTTGTGTTGATCCCTGGGTTGCTTGATGTGTGGAATTATGTTGTGACATCCTTGAGAGGAAAAATGCTCGCTAAACACATTTTCCTTATAACAGTATTGCCATTAATGTGCCATGTATATATTTTCTCCCCATAGGACACTTCCAGTAGCAGAGATGACTTGCTGAGTGATTATTTTAGAAAAGCAAATGAACCCCCTCCTATTGGGAACCAGCTGGGTCAGCCAGGTAGAAAGGAGACAGCTAAGACGCCTACCAGCTATGTGTCACCAACTATAAAAATGACCATCGCCAGTGAAGAGGGGAGAGTGGCTAAACCTGGACACTATGTCAAACCCAACCTTAGACCAGCTGAATCTGAGGCGCTGGCAAACGCCACAGGATCTCTTAAACTTCCTCCCACACCACCACATCAGCCGCTCAGTGGGCTGAGGCCGATGGCACAACCGCAGCAGACCAGTACGATGAGCCAGAGGAATGCCTCCCTGAGCAGAGCCTTTAGTCTGGCCTCTGCAGACCTCCTGAGAGCCACAGGCCCAGAGACATACAGACAGGAGAGCCCTCAGAAGCTGGGTGCAGATGTTCGTGCGGGCAAAGACTCTGGCAGTCAGACCTTGCGGCTGTCTGTGCCCCCGGGCTCTCATGCTACTGTACGAGACAGACCACAGTCTGCAAAGGCAGCGTGCACCTTGCAAGCTGTCGATTCCCGTTGTCGGCAGCTTGATGTGAGACGTCTTTCTCTGGCACCTCCAAAGGAGGAGAGGCCTCTTTCGTTTCATCAGTCTTCTTCCTCTGCCGGTGCCAACAGTATGCAGCAGCAGGAACGAGTGAGTGCAGTGCCTGGGCAACACTGTTCACCCACACAATATGCACCGGCTAAAGTCAAATCCAAGCCAGCCGCACGCTCTGGGGAAGTGGCCACCGTGACTCCTGTCAGAGCTGCCTCTAGTAACAGTGAGGGCGATGTTACCCAAGGGCAAAGTCGGAGTGATGCCCTCATTACCAAATGCCAGAGTAGGTCACCAGAAGGCCACACTGGTGCAGGGGGAATAGAGGAATCCAACAGAGGGGGCAGCTCCAGGAGCACTCCTGGCTCTCCAGATCCCCATGGGGACCAGCAGACTGTCTGGTATGAATATGGATGTGTGTAATCCGTTGATTCTCTTGGTAACGTGTTTTAAGCTGGTGACATTTGGGTGGAATTTGCTAGTGGCATTTGTCTAAACACTGTGGCAGGTCTTAAAAGGCATTACCTGCACCTCATTTTCTAGTTTGTCTAAATGCCTTTCAGGCATTGGTTTTTAATGGAACAAAGGACATTTTCACGGTTAAAACAAAGAACTGAACAGCCAAACCAGGGCCTTTCCTTTCACACTATAGTGCCTAAAACAAAGTGGACCCCTTACAGACTCCCACAAGACTTTAGGCCTAATTTTCAGAAGTGCTGAGCACCCACAAATCCAGCTGAAGACAAGGGGATCTGTGAGGGCTCACCACACTCTGACAATTGGTCACCGCCTCTCCCTATCTTTGTACTGCCCTCTCCCATGCTCCCCCAGATTCTGCATTAAAGAAACATTCATGGGTCAAATTTAACTGTGTTGAATTCAGCCCTCAGTTTGAAAAATGGCTTAAGTTGCATAAAAGATCATGTAAAAGCCGAACTCCTCTCTGGGGAAAAGAACCAGACGCTTGCAGCAGCTTAAAGAAAAGCTGAAGGGCAAAAGTGTATGGCTTTGCAGTGGATCTAAGAAAAGCAATTATGTTTGTAACAGCTGCATTTTATAAATAGGAGGAGTTGAATTAAAGGGTCCCATATTAACCTTTCACATTGGGAACTGTTTGAACCCAAAGAGGTCAGTGTACTTGCCTCGCTGCCTCCACTACACGCACAGTTCAGCGGATCCTTGATTCTGAAAGCCAAGTGGTGCTGCCTTTTGACACTTGCTTTATCTTTTATACAAACACTGGAACTGATACAGCCTGTTCAGGGAGATGCCTGCTTTCAATGGCATTGCAAAGATGGCATCCCATCTACAAAGGTGACTTGTACACATGTAAATGAAAAGTTAAATCATTGTATAGGATTGCTGTGTAAACTGTATTAATGTGCTATCACTTCTTCTTGCATCCCCATGTGCGTGATTGCCCATGTCCGAAGTAATATACAGGAATCTCTCTCATAGGATGAAGTCTTTGTTTCTGTCTTAAAGAACTTGTTCAGTGTAGAAACCAAAATAATGTTATATACATGAGAAAGAAATCTACTTTTAAAAATCTATTTATGTTCAAATAAAATTTCTCATATGTGTCTGTCAAGTTTCATCAGCTGCTTATGTATATATGATGAAACATGTATCTTTAATTCTATTTCATGTTTGTAAAGGTGTTTTCCTTGTATTAGACTAAATCCCTAAAAAATTTAAAGATTTTCCTTACACTGGTTCCGATTTAATATAGCAAAAGACATATGTAAGCAATTTTAAACTGATATCAGGTCAGCTAGGAATGTTTTTGTTATATAGTATGTAGCAATCACATTCTGAAAACTACAGGATTGTTTATAATAAAAGATTAAAAAAACAAATAGGTGCGATATATTTTTTCCTTTAGAAAATCCCAGATTCACAGAGATGGGTCTAGATCTGAGTCTGGGAGATTTGTGTAAATTTATTTTAATACTGAAAAGTATTCACAAACAATATAGTTGCACTTCTGTAGCAGGTGCTGGTGCAGAGGCACCTAATTAGCCCCTGCTCAGCCAGCCCCAATCAGGGGAAATAGATTGGGGCTGGGGAGAAGGCTGGTGCCTGGCCTTTAGAACTGGCTGCACCTGTGGGCCTGAGGGTTCAAGGGCTATAAAGGCTGGCTGGCAGCCAGAAGGAAGGGGGGATGGCTGGGGAAGGTCAGTCTCCGGGCTGAGGGCAGGCTCTAGGTGGAAGGGGAGATTGTAAGGCCTGCAAACTGTATATAGTATATCACTGGCGGTGGGAGAAGTCTGTAAATAAATCCACGGGTGCTGCAGAAGGAAACGCCTCTCTGTGCTTTATTGGGGCAGCCAGTGGGCCCCAGGAAGAAGGCCGGGCAGAGGACTTGTTACAAGTGGGGGCTTGTCCGGGATCTAGTGCCAAAGACACAGTTTGTCGACCCGGCAATGGAGAGCACCCTGCAGTGGTTCACCGAGCAACAGACAGAGATGCAGAAAGCACTGCAGTCATTCCAGCAGTCCCACCAGGTGGAGAGGCAGGCTCTACTCGCTTGGCAGGCAGAGCAACAGAGGGCCCTACAGGACTTCATCAAGGAGCAGTCGACAGTGCAGCAGCAGCTCCTGCAAAAGCTGGTGAGTCCTGCTGGGGGAGATGGCACCCGGGCCTCAGCCTCTGTAAGATGGCCCCAGCAGATGACCCCGACGCCTCTTTGGGTACCTTCGAGCGGGTGGCCCTGGGTGCGGGATGGGACTGGACAACCTGGGCCCTGCGGCTGGCCCCCTATCTTGCGGGGGAGGCACAGGCTGCATATATGGCCCTGACGGATGCCCAAGCCAGGGACTATGATGTTGTGAAGGCAGCGATTTTGGACCGCCTCGGGCTTTCGGCTGAGAAATATCGGCAGAAGTTTCGGGCAGCCTGGTGGGCGGGGGGCATGCGACCCCGGGCCTTTGCTCAAAAATTAACAGACTGGGCAACACGGTGGTTGAGACCCGATGCCCACACCATGGGACAGATAATGAATCAAGTGATCCTTGAACAGTTTATCCAGTGCCTTCCCGATAGCATGTGGGTTTGGGTGCGGCGACATCAGCCGGCCACCGTACAAGCCGCCGTGCAAAGAATGGAGGAGTATGCAGAGGCTGACTTCCCACCAAGAGAGCATCGAGCCCCGTGGGACACAGAGGGGGGCAGGAAACCCCGTGAGCACGCCAGGGTGAAGCCGGTAGACAGGCGACGGGAGGAGCCCAAGGGGACCCCTAGCCGCCTGGGGCAGCTCGTATGCTGGCGGTGTGGACAGCTGGGACATAAAAGCCGGGATTGCCCGGTGATGGAGTGTGGGGCAGCTGAATTTTGTGGATGGATTAAGACTGGGGGGTGGAAAAAGAGGCACGGATTGGCCACTATCCTGGTGCGGGTTGGGAAAAGGCCCCAGAGGGGTCTAGTGGATACAGCCTCCACTCGCTCCCTTATACAGCGGCGCTTAGTGAAGCCGCATTGGCTCATCCCTGGGGAATGCATGTTAGTAGAATGCATCCATGGGGATAGGGAATATTGTCCCGTGGCCCAGGTACCCCTTGAAGTGCAAGGGCGGTTTACCTGGAAGCGGGTGGGGGTAATAGAGGGGTTGGCCTACCCCGTGGTCCTGGGGCTGGACTGGCGCCCTCCCCAGAAGGGGAGAGAGACCACGGAGAAGGGACTATCGAAGAAAGGGGGAAAGAGAACCCTGGAAAGAGAGGGCAAGACCCTGGTGGAGGTGGACCCGGAGCAAGGGGAGGCCCCACGACCTCCAGGGGGAAAAGCCGAGCAGCCTAGACAACCAAGCCAAAATAAGGAGCCTGAGGGAGTAACTGAGGAGCAAAGCGAGCTTCCTGGGCAGGACCACCTTCCAGGGAGGGTGGAAGAAACCCAACAGGGGGAGGCCCAACATCAAAGGGACAGAGGGCCTGGACCAGAGACGGGGGGCCGACTCAGGGCAGCGGGCTCTGAGCCGTCACCCCCACTAGAAAAGGAAGGGGAGCCTCCGGGGCGGCCGGCCCAACCATGTGACTGGTGTGAGGACCTCTGGGTGAGTGTGGACATGTGGGGTGCCCCACCTCCTACCCAATGCACCTTTTATGGGTGGGGTGTGCCAAAGCCCCATGGGGTGGTGCCTGGGGATCCCTCAGCTGGGCAGGAGGCCCAACCCCAGAGTAAAATTCCCGGATGAGGAAAGCGAGGCCGAGGAAGACCAGGCCTGGCACCAGCTTAAGGGGGGAGGTGTGTAGCAGGGTGCTGGTGCAGAGGCACCTAATTAGCCCCTGCTCAGCCACCCCCAATCAGGGGAAATAGATTGGCGCTGGGGAGAAGGCTGGTGCCTGGCCTTTAGAACTGGCTGCACCTGAACTGGCTGAATCTGAGGGTTCAAGGGCTATAAAGGCTGGCTGGCAGCCAGAAGGAAGGGGGGATGGCCGGGGAAGGTCAGTCTCCGGGCTGAGGGCAGGCTCTAGGTGGAAGGGGAGATTGTAAGGCCTGCAAACTATATAGTATATCACTGGTGGTGGGAGAAGTCTGTAAATAAAGCCACGGGTGCTGCAGAAGGAAACGCCTCTCTGTGCTTTATTGGGGCAGCCAGTGGGCCCCAGGAAGAAGGCCGGGCAGAGGACTTGTTACAACTTCTCTGTACAATATTTCCATATTAGCTTTATCGTAAATTGATATTGTTTAGATTGTAATCTTAATGAGGGCTTCAGGGCAACGAATTGTGAATTAAATGACAGGCATGTCTTTGTAGGAGCAGGCACTTAGATTTAAGCATTTCTGAGCCGAGATCATTTTAAACAACACCAAGCACATTGTTGATATTTAACAAGTATGAATTTACATAACACTTTTCATGCATCAATCTCAAAGCATCTTACAAACGTGGATAAACATTATCTCCAAACTGAGGAACTGTAGTAAAGTGACTTGCAATATTCCCTGTTATTTCAATCTAGAACCCCAAAAAGGCATATGTCTTTATCTACTGCATTCTCCTCTCTTTAAAAATCCTTCATCAAGGAGTTTGCTTGAATATATTCACTGACCTCCAGGTTAAACTGCTAAAGAATTAGAACCCTATCTGGGAGCTTACAGTCGTAGCAGCTCTGATTTGATGGAGACCCATGAGTTTCATCACAGCCTTGATCTCTTCAACTTGAAAACCAATGTTTCTAATTATTTATTAAACTGGCATGCGAGGTGTTTTTAATTATCCTCTGAATCCCTATTTGTCTTATTTAAACTTATATTGCCTCTATCTCATATCTAAGTGCATCACATAACTTTAAAAACACGAATTGTAACAGTGAATATCTCTTAAAGTGGTCTTAAAAACCAAAGCCACTGTGAGCCTAATATCCTGTGCTGTAACACTCAAAGTATCAAGAGAATTAACATTAAAGACTGAATAGGCAAAGGTGAGTGCTCTGATATAGGGCCATTATACTGCAGTCTGTTCAATGTATACATCATTATCACTTGACCTTTAATAGACTTGGTGGCTATAAAATCTTTCCTACAGAGTATATCAGTCCACTAATTTTCTATTCAGTGTGAGCAGTTGAAAGATTTCCCTCCCTCAAAAAAGGCCTTTGAGACAAGGAATCCCCTGCCTCAATGCAATAGAACTCCCTCAGGAAGCAGTGGAATCCCCAACACTTGAGAAATTTAATAGGCTAGATAAGCTGATTTCCTAATACAAACTAATGGAAAAAGTACTGTGAAGAACAGTCTAGTGAGAGGGCAATAGTCATGGCTTTTTTTTTTTTTTTTCCTGGTGATCACGTTTTGCAGTAAGGGCCCGATTTTCCAAAGAAGTGCTGTTCATAGTTAGGCACCCAAATAAGTGGACAGATTTTCCAAAGAGATCGATCCCTTGACTGCTGAGCTCTGGAGAATCTGTCCATAAGTGTGACTAGATTTGTAGTCAAGGCTTGTGCCCGTGGAAATACTCTCACTATGCAATGCACTCATATGCAGAACTGGGCGAGGCTGTTAAATATAAGTGAGTAATTTTTATTTTAAAAACCACCACCACCCGAGTGACCTTGTTAATCTCTTGAATTAAAAAAGCAACTCATATGTACAGTACTTCTTGATAAACCCCTTTTGTTCATTGATGCTATCTCATCTAGTATGGCCTGGTTAGGAAATGTAAAGCCCTGCTCCTCTAAGGAGCAGCCTTGTGACAGGAGTGTTTGCTCTGTTGGATATTCTGCCCCTGCGCCCCAAAGTTTGAAGTTGTCTTTCAAATATACAGACTGTTTATTCTGAGTTTAACTGGGACTAAAGTGTAGGAAATTGAAAAAGCAGAATACCAAATGTAAGTTATTTTTTTCCATAATAAAGGAGTGCAGAGTAGGAGCTCTTTTTAAAAATGGCTAAAGCATGTATGTTTAGATCATTGACAGAGACACACCACATAGCTGGAAATTATTTCTGATCAGCCAGATGGTTTGTGGGTGGGTGAGTTGGTTGGTTGGTTTTTTTTAAGTTTGGTTTAAGGTAAATAATTTTAAACCAGGAAAATCTCTGAAACATACAGAGGGAATCTCCAATTAGTCATGGAATGATTTACAACCTGTGGATCAGCTGAACGTAAGGAGTGTATGGGAAAGAGAAGAAAATAGTACAATAATTATGATTACTAGGGAAAGCCATGAGAATTTTTAGCAGGATATTTCAGCTTGAGAACCAAATGACAAAAACTAAGGCATCTCCAGAGACTATTGAATTATGATTAATTTATCATTCTGCAGGGCATTTGGAAGGTTATGGGACTCACAAGATTGTCTTCCTGCATCTTTAAATATATTT